TACCAAGATCGATACTTGGCAAAGGCCAACCAACATTGTCAACAGCATATATTAAACCAATCGACCATGTTATCCGTTTCTTTATTTTTCCTCATCCTTTTTTCATTCCAAGTTTCATCAGTTATTCTTGGCGACTAAAGGTACAATTGTAAACAGATCAAAGATGGAAACGTTGAATTTGCCAATTAATCTGAATCTTTCAAAATTCAATTCCAAGTTAATTGTATTCCAAAAAAAGGTTGAAAATAAATTGGAAAAAAAGAAATGAGAAAAACTTTTCTTTTAAAGTTGAGTAAAGTTGATCATCTGATTAGCTCGAGTTCACTTCTCAGCCTTTTCACCTTTTCTTGCTTTTCCTAATTAATCAGTTAGGAATAAAGATGACAATGATTGGCAATAATTAGCTAAAAATTAACTCATTTGTTGCTACTTTTGTTGTGAAAAGAGAAACGCTTTTACAGACAATTTTCATTCTCAATTGTCACATAATTTAATCATCATTATCAAGATAATTTGCTTCTAATTTCATTGCTCATAATTGCCAATTAACTTGATCTCATGGAAATCATTTGAAAGTATCTTTTAATGATAAACATAAACATAATCTTAAATGGTTGCCCTCAACATTCAAGTTATCAAAGCAACTCTTTGTTTTCATTTCAAGCTCATTGTTGATCAGATTAAACAGGGAAACGTATTCACTGATTAACACGATTAGCTAAGGAGGACGTCAGAAGTTGCCTATTTTCAGATCACTTTCAAACTAATTTTTCTTATGTATTTTTTTATGCTGAGTTTAATTATGTAAATTATTTTTTTGTCAGAGTTACCGTTCGAAAGATATATACGAAAAAATCAAAAGAATTTGAGGATAGAGGAACGTGAAGATTCATGAATAAGAGTTAGAATTATGTTATCTAGATTTGTTTTTCATATAATTCAGTGTTCTCGATCATATATTTGCAATAAAAAACTAGAAAAAATGGTGCAAAATACCCAAACAGTTTAAAAGTTAGATGAGTCGCATTTCGACATTTGTTTTAACCATGTTCCAGTTAGGGACGCACAACGATATTCACATTTTAGACATAATCAGTTATGCTGATTCCATATTTAAAATAAAAATGACAAAAAAATGGTGCAAAATAAGTCAAAGGTGAGAAAAACTATTTCGAGTTTGTTCGGGTCGATTTCTGTCCATGTTCCAGGTAGGGACGCACCATGATTTTCACATTTTAGATATAATCAGTTATGCTGATTCCATATTTAAAATAAAAATGACAAAAAAGTGGTGCAAAATGAGTTAAACATCCACAACAAAAATTCGAAACATCTCTACTATTTTTTGACTTATTTTGCACCATTTTTTTGTCATTTTTATTTTAAATATGAAATCAGCATAGCTGATTATGTCTATAATATGAATATCATGATGCGTCCCTACCCAGAACATGGACAGAAATCGACCCGAACAAACTCGAAATAGTTTTTCTCACCTTTGACTTATTTTGCACCATTTTTTTGTCTTTTTTATTTTGGATATGAAATCAGCATAGCTGATTATGTCTAAAATGTGAATATCGTTGTGCGTCCCTAACTGGAACATGGTTGAAACAAATTTCGAAATGCGAATCATCTAACTTTTAAACTGTTTGGGTATTTTGCACCATTGTTTCTAGTTTTTTATTACAAATCTATGATCAAGAACACTGAATTATATGAAAAACAAATCTAGATAACATAATTCTAACTCTTATTCATGAATCTTTTACGTGCCTCTATCCTTAAATTCCTTTGTTTTTTTCGTGAATATCTCTCGAACGGTAACTCTGACCAAAAAATAATTTATATTATTGATGTCAGCATAAAAAAATACATAAGAAAAATTAGTTTGAAAGTGTACTGAGTTTGGGCACTTTTCCCTATTCATTTTGACATCCTCCTTTCATGTTTAGTTGACATTTTCTTGATGCTATCACAATGATGGTAATAATTATAATAATCTGAACCATTATACCATCTAATATGAAAAGATGATGACAGAGAGAAAAGTTGAATGCATAATCATAATCATTTACAAGATTTGGCTGATTAAGCGATTCCAGAGGTAAATCTTTTTCCAGCTCAATTAAGTTCGTTTTTTTGGAGACATTTTATTTTCTTACTTTAGTCTCACAACCATGGGAATAGCAAGATGCATGGCAAGTGAATGGAAACAAAAAATGTCTAAACAAGTTTATCTCTGGTTAATCTGATGACTTTACACTTTGCTTTGTCTCTTCTTTTTTTGTTAATCATTTTTGTTTCTTTTTCATTAACTTGCCTTTATTTTCAACGACAAATTCAACATTGATGAGCTGGCAAACCAATGATGAAACCTTTTTTTTCAACCAAAAAATAGTGAAAAGTAAAATGAAATGTTTACTGTAATCTCTGTGATTTCGCTCCATTAATTGAACAAAACTCGGCCAATTGTAACTCCAACAGTTAAACTGAACAATCAAGATAATCTTGAGGATTAAATGTGGCAGCAAGGAATAGTCATTGAGATTGTGAGATGCGAATCAATCACGATATTAACTGTTACAACAATCTAATTGCAAGTCCATTTAAATGGAAAACAATTTCAATCACTTTTAGGTTAAGAGCTGAAGACATTCAGATTAGTAGGTTTGCCAAGTATCATTTGTCTCGCTTCTTAATCGGAATTCTTCTCCTTCTGAGCCGAAAATGAATCAAAATCATAAAAATTCGTTCATTTTGTTCTCAATGGAAATCAATTTTTGAAAAAAAGAACTCAACTTTAATTTTCTTTTCACTCAATTTCAGTCGTTTCTGGTATGGAGATTGAACTAGTCTGGACAACTTGATAGCTAATATTTATGCTTCTGGTCAAGAAGTGCAACTGCAGTCAAGTCCATTCTTCATTTACTTCATAATCGAAAGCCTTTCCACTTGGGAACTGAAATGCATCGAAGTTGATTCATGAAAGTTTGTTTCATTTTGTTCTTAATGAAATTCATGGAAAATCGTAATAAAAATTTAGAGAAGAACTAAAATTTTTTAATTTTCTTTTTATCTAGTTTTAGCCTTTTCTGTTATTCGATATTGAACTAGTCTGAACTTGTCAAGTTGATAGTTAATTTGCTTTTGGTCAACGATTTCTGTTATGCAAACATGGTTAAGCCACTTGGATTGATCCAATAATCAATCTTGGCTTGGATTTAAATTGCACTTTTCCATTGCCTTTTCAAATAGTTGATTTATAATGAACGGCTTTTATGCTTGTCATGTTTCAATGTTAGAATCTAATGTGAATAAATGTGCTGAATAAATTATCATTTCAGATTCAACTTGTAATCCATTTGTAAGTTTATTCATTTTATACCTTCTTTACCATCTTCATCATCCTTCACCAATTGGCCAAAAGTAGAAAGTAAACCTCGAAAGAATGATCCATTTTTAGAATAAAGTTATTAAAGGAAAAAAAGGTAAAAATGATTTTGATTATATTAATATTATTTTTACATCATTTGGCCCAAGCAAAACGAACCCTCAGGCCTTCATTCTGCACTTATATTGATCTTTATTATTATAATATTATATTGATAACTTGGTTAGAAGAAGAAGGCAAAAGTAAGAATTATTTACGGGAAATTGTGAAAATTTATCACATATTCCATGAGTTTAATCATAATGTTAACTTTAATTTCATGATCCAACACTTTTATACTCCCAATCACATCCCAGTTAATAAGTGCAAAGCAACAGCACAAGTTGAATGGTGATGAAGAGAAGGGAAAAAACACAAAATAATAATCAAATAACGAACCTAATGATGATAATAAAGTTTTTTATTACTACCTTATGTTCAATTGCATTACAACTTAATAACCAATAATTGATAACAACTATTAATATCTTAATAACCTGGAAGAAAAAATCTTCTCATCACTGATTCAACATTAAATGTTATCAATTAACAATAACGAGTTTAATCATCGATAAAATAGTCAATGTCAATGGTTAGGTAAAACAGGTTGACAATGGTTTCAAATGTTAACTTGCAGTTGGTTTTTGAGTTGAAAATGTTGGACAAAAAGTTTAATAAATCATTTATTAAATTGTTAATCTTGTAAAGCTTCTTGTTGAGGTTATTAAGGATTTCATTAAGATGATGGTCAAGATGAAATTTGATGAGAAAAGTTGAAATGTCCAAATAGTGTTAGTCTTTACATGGAAACTTTTTGTTCATTTTCATCTCTTTTTTTTGTTTATCCTGGTTAAGGGAGAAATGATTATTGGGTTAATCACAGTTATAATGGATTTGAAAGCAATCATATTATCATTGGTAACTGATGAGACTGGGAATTATATAATGATAATGATAATGATGATAAAATGGTTAAACTGGTAAAGGAAAAGATTGCATTCATTGGATGACATTTATGACAAAATTAATTAATAAAAGAGGTTGGACAAGTTTTTTTTTTGATAAATTTTGGACCATTTTTTTTCTTCTTTTCATTTTCTTCTTCTCTTCTCATCTTCTGGTCTTCAAGTTATCAAAAGGTTTTATTAGTCGAGTATTATTATTTGATAATGAATAATAACTTTTTGTCAAATTGTGAAGATGATTTGGATGAAGATGTGAAAAGGAAGGAACTTTTATCTTCCAATTGGCGAGGAAAACCTTTTCTTGATCATCTTTTCTTCTTCATCATCTCTTCTTGTTCAATGATGATTATGGTGTCAACAGACGCTTTCCCATGATTATAACAGATTAACTAATATATATTTCATTTCATCTTCTTGCATCAACTTGCTCAATCCATTTGAATTAATCGTTGCTCTTGTTTTGACTTTGATAATCAATTGGATGAGAAGGATGATGATAGGATGACGGTGAAAGTGAATCAAATAGATTATTAGGAATGATAAGAGAGAGTGAGTGAGGCTTGGAAGGTTGATCATGATGAGAGGGAAGATGAGTTTTTTTACAGTTGAATGATTGAGGAATCTCTTTTTGGCTCATCTTAATACATATAAAAACTGATTGAAACCTTTGCTAAATGGGTTCAAGAGATTTGCTTGTAACTTTGATTGTGACCTCAATTATTGAAAATATCATTGGCATTGTATCAGTTGGTGAGTCGGTGAGTTGATGATGGTAAACATAATCGATAACTGATCAGCAATGATGAAAAGTAAAACAGGAGAAGATGAAGATTCCTATGAAAACTATAAGTCGACTTTAGTTTTGGTTTATTCTGAAAACAAAGTCAGTCTAATGATTACCTTTCTGTAACTCACTGGGACTCAAAGAGAGGATAAAGATGAAGATGATTATAAGAAGATAATGGAGGCAAAACAAGTGAAGGGTATAAGGCTGGGAGTAAGAAAATGATTACTGTTCTTTACTGATGATGATGATGATGATGATGATGATGATGAGAAAAGATCTAATCAGACTTTGCCTTTTCTTTTTTCCGTCCTTTTTCCCTTTATCTGGATTGACCATTTGTATGAATTTAGGGTCATTTTCATTTTCAGGTCAGAATAAAGAGGAATGAATGTGAATGAGAGAAAAGAGAAAACTTTTTTTCTTCTCCTTTTTCTATTCAAGACTTAACTGGACAAATCAGGGAAATCAAAGTCACAGGGAAAATTAATTATTTGCTAGATAAATATTACCATGTTTAGACTAAAAGGTTTTTCATGGTAAATAAACACTTTTCAGATTAACTTTGAATATTTGCCTTTCAATTATCTTAACAGTTGATAATCATTGTTAATAATTGAAAGTCAAAAATGTCAACTGGAATAAAAGTCGAACCTGAAAATTTCGTTTGTTTTTCGTTCCCTTTTTGATTGTTTGGTTGCTTCTCTACTTTGGTTTAACCAGTTAAACTCATTGAACCATTTAAGGCTCATTGAGAACCATTAAACTCACTTTGAATTTCAATTAATGTTTGAATTAGAAGGCATTTTAAATGCATTTAATCAATCCAATTGTTTACACTTCAAGTTTATCTCAACCAGGTTAAAGTTGGCAACTGTTAATGTCAAAGTTCACTTGAAATTTCAAACTTTTGACCAAAAGCGCTTTTTTCAAGCAATAATCAATTTCTGAAAATAACTGCCATCTATTGTTAACCTTTGCTAACTCGTTTGTTGAATCCAAAAACACTTTTGTTTAATCTGAATAATTCATTTCTCTGGATGAAACATTTCTCCTTCTTCACTTTAACCATTATTTAATTGTAATACTTATTATTACAACATAATTTCAACTTGATTTATTTCTCCTTCTTTCTTTTCTTTTCTTTTTTCCTCTTTTTTTTCTCTCCTCTTCACTTTTGTTTCTATTCCAATCATGCGATTCAATTCTGATCAATATCTCATTCCCTATTCTTGCACATTCATTAGAACCAAGAGCAGAGAAATAAAAAGCAAGGAAAAAAAGACTCGGAAATGATTCTGCTTTTCATCCATTTGTTTCTTCTCACATCCAATAATGATGAAAATTGTTTCAACGCTTTAAACGTTTTCTCCTGATTCCCTGATTATGTCCAAGTGAAAAGGCGTAAATAAATTCCTATCAATCTGGATATTGATTAGAGCTTTGTGCTTTCTCCTCTTTTTTACCAAACAGTCGATTCAGATTATCATTATTATTAATCTACATATTAATGAAAGAAAAATGTAAAGATTATTATTAATATCATCATTTGCCAGGTTCAATGTTTTGCTTACTTGATTATTGTTAAATATCTTTTCAACATTCACTCGAGAGACTTGAATAATTGCTTGTTTAACCTGATTACAAGGTTTGCAATCAAAAAGTAAAATTGCTTGGATATTAATCAACATTAATATTGGATCAAATTTAAAACTTGAATCTTGCTGTCAATGTGAATAATACACTTTACTGATTGTAGTTGAGTTCAAACACCAGACTGGTTTACATCAAACTTTGGTGTTAGCATAATAGCAATTGGTATTATTTTCATTCTTGATCAAAGTCATTTATCAGACAATTTGAATTGGTAAAAATCGCAAGGGCGTAAAAGTTTCCTCCCAAATTAGATTATATCACCTTCCTTTTCATTTCATTAGGAATCGCTTTTTGGACAACAACAATACTTTGTTCATCATCACCATTAACATTACCAGCTTTTCCATCTCAAATAATCTTTCTCATCAATATTGAGAAATGTTTTCACCCTGCAAAATATTAATCTCAACCATTTATCATTACATCGTCAATGAGATTGTTTTTTTTGTCTATTATCAATAACTCCAATTAACCGTCAAACACTAGACATCTAATTGTTGTTTTCATTTGTTAACATTTGTCCAAATTCAAGACTCTTGATCCTTTAGTTTTCTTGCGATTCTTTCCTTGTCTAACCCTTTTCACCTTTTGAATCCATTTAATGATTGAAAGTTCAAGACATTTCCATGTTGGGTTAAAGTAAATTCACTAACAGCTAAGAAAAGCAAAGAAAAAAAACATTAGCTCAAGATAATCATTAAGAGAAACATTGTCAGCTGATATTCAAGGGAAGAATGAGAAAATGAAAATTTTTTGCGTTTTTCTGGATATTTCGCATTTCCATCAATACTATTTGATAGCAAAATGTGTAGCAATTAAGTAAATTGGAAATGAAAAAAACAAAAAATAGTCATTTTAACATGAGTACCTGTAATCACTTTCTACCTGGCATACTTTAGGCTCTTTGATTTTCTTGATTTTCCTCTTTGTCCATGAAAAATGTTGTTATTTGTGCATCAGCATCATCTTTACATTATTATTCTGATTGATGGATTCAAACTTGTTTTCCAATGTAATCATGTTCCTCGGCTTGTTTCCAATTCATTTCTGTTAATCTTTTTATGTAAATTGAGTTATAGCATGATAGGATCCTATGCTGACCATGGTAATCACAGTTTAACATGAAAAATAAGATTTATAACTTGACCAATTTGCTTTTACAAAATATATAGATACAAATATACTGAGTATGTAGTAATCAAGTTGACCATCAATGATAATCATTCATAATTTCAAATTGATTACTACAGAGGAAAAGAAGAAATTGGAAGGAAAAAATCGGAGAAAACGTTGATTATCATTCATTTTCATTTTGGATCAATAAAGTGAATTGATTGAAAATGGATAATGATGACAGAAAATGTTGAAACTTCATAGACAATTGAAGTTTCAGTTGATGAGTTTGAATGATATCATAACGGAATAGATGAACAAAGTGTCGAGCAAATTCCCTAGCCTTGACATTGTTAACACTAAATGCACTAGAGCAGCAACTATTAACTAAACAATGATGTGTGTTCAACTGGACAAGAAAGGTAAATCAGACCAAGTTGAATCTAAATTGATCCAGTTTTTGTTTTGACATTGAGGTGAAACAACAGCAACATATTAAATGAATCCTGATGAGTTTTGTGTTCACAATTCAGCTTGGATCAAAAGCAGATAAGTAGACTAGCAAATGATAACCATAATGAAGGTACATCAACAATTAATTGCATTGATTCGCAGGGTTGAGTTGGAGCATTTACATTCAACCATTAAACCATTCCAATGATAAATATCAAAACAAAATACATCCAATCAACATAAAGGTTAATTTCATATTGAATAACAGATAATTGGAGTTTCAGTTTCTTCATTTCTTTCCCCATGCTTTTCCTTCATGTCATCCTCATAATCACTTTTGGCTTGAATAGAAATTTTGCTTTGCTTTTCTCTTCTTCATTTATTCATTTCTATTGAATTCTGTTGGATAATAGAGAAAAAAAAATAAAATAAAATAAAAATTGAACAATAAACAATATCAATTTTACTGTTAATGGGTGAATTTATGGATATCATTGTTGTTATAAAATTAGGCTTTTACGTATTGGAAAAGTGGAAGCCAATTTGTTAGAGAAATGGAAATCAAAGAGTTATTAAGATTATTCATTTCAATTTTTTACATTAATCTAAGTTAATATTAAATATATTATTAGTGGCCATTAGTTTTTATCTATTGCTCTTAAGTATCTTTGCAATTCAAGAGATTGAGTCTTTATATTTGGCGAAATATAAAAACTGTAGATTGAAATGATCATGAAACTTTGAGTGGTAATATTTTCCTCTAAACAGAATAGATAAAAAAGAATTGGCATTTAAGGTAATAACAATAGAGTTTTATAATAATAACAATAACCATGGTTGGAAGGGAAAGAATTATACTTCTTTGGTTGATTAATAAATGATTTTCTATGTGAAATTATCCAAAAATGTTTGTTTTCCTTCACAGTAAATGATATTCTTACTGGGAAAAGGTAGTCTTCAGTTAGTTAGGTTAGTTTTTTGGGCAACGAGTATGTTAACAACATTGTTAGTCTATAAAGTTAATGTTAAGACAAGAAGGAACAATGAACTTTACCATGTTATCCATGAATCTTTGAAACAAATCATTAAGGAGATGAGGGTGAATGAATAAAAGGAAACATCGCGAAACAATGGATACCAGGTTAGTTCCAGGGTTTGAGTCGAGAAAAAGGCGCACATTGAGAGGACGAAAAGTATGTTGAAAACTGCTGAGCCTACAATGGTTCCAATACCAACATCGTCATGGCTAATGAAAACTCCAATAAGAGCCGTGAATAGTTCTGGAGCAGAGCCTCCGGCCGCCATGAATGTAGCTCCGGCAACATCCTCAGATATAGCCAGTTTCTCGGTAATAACGTCCAGTGAGGGAATAAAAAATTCATCACAAACAACGGCCAAAGCGAGAAACATGTAAATCACACCAATGATGTGCAATACAACAGCTCCTTTACGTTTCTGGTCAAGTGTGAAAATATCTGGTGGAAACATTGGATCACTCTGTTTTATCGCCTCTTCATAAGGAGGGTCTGGTAAGCCGGTTGACGAATCAATTTCGAGTTCTACATCGTCTTTGTTCGGGAAATTTTGAATGGATAACGGCGACCGAGATTGATGTATAGAGTGAGTTGAAACAGACGGTAATCTAGACGATGGTGAAGTTAAACAAGAACCGGTGAGAAACAAGCTTAGCGCGATGTAAATGAACAAGCTGGTTACAAGAAATGGTATCACTATCAACAGTCGCTGTAATTTTGACAGTGTCCGACTTTTGATCCAAGGTTGTCTATTAAAGCACTGATGGTGACAGTTTGTTTGATTGAATAATAAATTCATTGTATCTTCAGATGGTGAAGGATAACTCCTTTGTCGGATAAGGTTAGAAATACTTGCTTGTCGTTTTATCACTTTACAATACAAATGCGATAGTTGATCCATATTTAAATTTAAATTTGATTCAATTAAATTTCTTAGACGCTAAAATTAAGTTTCACTTGATTGTTGATCTCTATCAGCGAAAAAATTGGGCAAAAAAAGCTAAGTTCGTTGATAAATTGCCTAGTAGATGGCGCCGCGGGTTAAACAAAATTACCAAAAAGCACTTTCGGCGGCTCCTTGTAAGCTGCTAGGAACACCAAAAATTGAACCAGGGTTTAACTTTTGGGTTATCGATTAGTTAAATTGCCGTCGCAATAAATGAGTTGAAACTAGGATCAAAAGGCCCATTGTCATTTGATAGTTGAAGATTACTGATAGGAGTTAATGAAGACACGCTAATTTGAATGGCAATGTGAAACGTTTAACGTGACTGATGCATATATTTAGTTGGAGTAACAATAAAGCAGACTATAATGTAGCCAAATGTTGCCAGCAATTTTCAAATCTTCCACATAACAATTATATCTAATCACTAAATTAGACTTTACATCATTAGTCTGTAGATACAATTCAATTAGAAGCAAAGTATTTTCTTACATAAGTTGGTGTAACAAACTTGAGCATCTCAAATGAGACTGAAAAAGTCTTCAATCTTTAATAGGTCCAGGTTTAACGCTTTTGCAAACAATTTACACAAAATTAAGAGATTAACAAAAGTCAACTGAAGAAACAAAGTTGTCACATGAAATAGTTTACCGTTTGAAGCACATGTAAAAGACGAAACAAAAACTGTAGCTACACAGGTGAAATCTCCGTAAAGAGTGAATTTCCAAATTCAATATAAATGAACCTTGGACATAATCATCACTGAATGTTGTTTTTTGTTTTTTTGGCTTTGATTTTGCTCCTCTTTGATTGTTGCCTAAAAATTCTGCTACCTTTACATTAAAATTTTCACGGTTTTGCCATCCAGCTAGGCCAATCAATAATTATCATCATTGTCATCATCTTGTTTTCATTTTAATGCTCCCACTTTGAGAATCTTTGTTGTTTTGTTCACCCTCTTTCATTTACAATTATTTGTTGGACTCTTTTAGGGATTCATTGGTAAAATTAACTCATGAGAATATTTGATAATAGTTGCCAAGGTATGGATCTAGAAAAATAGAGAGACAAGAGAGGTGAATATTGCAATTAGTTTAGATTTATAAAGAGACATTGATTTACTTTCAATTGAATAATTTCCCTTCTGGTGTTTCCATTGAACCGTTTGATAATTATGTTGATGTTTATCATTAATTATGTTTCCTAGTTATCCATTCATCAGGTAATACAGTGACCCATGATAATCAACCAATAAACTAAACATAAAAGAAAGAAAAAAAGATTCAATAACAGAACAAAATGTTTTAATTTCACATTTCAGTTGCTATTTTACCCTTTCATAACAGATTCGGGTTGAATAGCGTTAACAAATTATTACCTTGTAAACAATGATTGATCATCAAGTGTCCAGATAGATAAAGTAATCGTCGCCCACATTTTATAGAAAACAAATAGACATTAATCATTAATTAAAGACAGACGAGTGATTTGAAACAATTTACTTTCTTGCAATTTCATTTTGATTACACACATGAATTGTTTACCTTATTACAAGGATAGGGATATCGATCTCCCAACGAATCTTAAATGGAGCAGATCCAGGCAGATACTTCAAAGTTAAATCAACAGATACGAAATTTATGTGTTCATTTTAAAACTCGTGCAAATTCAGTTTTCTTCCTTCGAGTTATCTGACAATGTTTACTTGTTTTTACCTGACAACAGTCTAACAGTAAGTATTGAATTTTTTTTCATAAATTCACGAATTCTGACAAATTGTGAGTCTCAGACGAGGAGATGAAGTCTTGTTTAGCTCGGGAAAGGCTTTCAGATGAACCCCTTTCCAATTCAAAATGGTGCAATAGGCGCGTGTTACTTTTCGGTTAAATTTGAGTAGAAGAGAACGAGATTATTTTTGATAGATTTAATTTAATTTAATCAAAAAGAGCAATTTAAAGCGTAATAAATCCCAAATTACTAAGGCTTTAATGCCATCTGTAGGGAGAAAAGACAATTGTGAAAGGTTACCCAAGTTGCATAAGACAATGAAAAAGTATTAATTTTTAGTTCTCAGCTTTTTATATTTTTAGCTTTGGTTATTCAGTTGAATCAGTCAGGATTAGCTATTGAATTAACAACAATTGGCGACATTTTTGGTAACAAATGATGGGTAAACGATTAGTGTTTAAAAAGAGTCATTCAAATCGAGTCTCATTCACTGGCGTTGGTTATCAAAATTATCCCCTTAAGGTAAGAAAACAATTCTCATAAAGCAAAATGATAACCTTTACACTTACAAGTACATATCAATTGAACTACTTGAGATTTGCCATTTGATTGTAACAAACTGTTAAAATAGGGAAAGAGAGAGAGAGAAAGAAAAGGTAGCCATTTTCTTTCTTTTTGATCTTCCATCCCGGAGAAAAGCGTTACTATGGACAAAGCGAAATGTGATATTTGGTGGTGAAAAAAACGATATCAAATAAGGAGCCATATCATAATCAACAGCTTCATTTTTGATGATGACGACTATAATAAAGTAAATGGTAAGTGTTCATACAAAATTGAGCACGTTATTTTAAATAGTTTAAGCCAAAACTGACTCGAGGCTATTACAGTTTATGAATATATTATCTATATGAGTATTAACATTGTTGCTTGATGGTTGGATATTATCATAAAAAGATGAATAATCTTGAATCATATGAAGTGACAACATGCTGTGACATTTGCTAGAGTATTTGTAACACAGTTTGCTTTTTGTTTTGTCTACGTTATTTAGCTATGGTTTAACAATCGCTTTATGAAGTACTTACCTCAAACCATTTGTCAACATTGTTACTCTTTTTTTCACACTTATTCACACTGCCAGTCCCACTTTTATAAATGTTTTCATGATTATGCTTAACCGGTCAAACTAATTACTCGACACATAAAACCTTTTGACCAATAGCAGCTCACAAGTTGACTGAAAAGCTGTCCATTTGTTTTTAAAATGGCTTCATTTGTCGATAAACTGTTGACTGTTTTCATACTTTGAATTTTGATTTTCTGCTTCTTTCCTCCTTGACATTTAATAGGTTTCGCATAATAATGTTTTTAAGTGTTTAGAGTTAACTCAACTATTTATTGAGTCTCTCCATCTTTTGATGAAGATAATGTTGATGAAGAAAAAAGCTAAAAATCAAGTCCATTAGTCGATGATAGTGATGATCTATTAAAGTGATAGGAGGAAAGGAAGAAGTATATTGTTAAGGTAGTAAAAAAGTTGATTGATAGATAGATTTGGTTGATTAATATCCATTGATGGAGAAGAGGATATATCTCCCCATGGAAACACCTAATTGAAGGATCAAATAACAATCAAGCTTTAAGGTACAGATTAAGAGGCAGGGAGTTAACAAGGGGAGTTGATAAGAGCGGAGGGAAGCCAATAACACGGTTTCAGTGTTTGTGTATAAAATGAAATGGACTTAAAGAGATGTGAACGTCAATATGTTGATTGTCTGGATGAGAGTGAGAGAAGGACATGGATTTAAATCAAGAGATCAACAAGAAAGAGACAAATTGTCAATTTGGAATCAACATGGTGACAAGAGGGCTCATTATGACCTCTTCTCAGTCTCTCTCTTCATCTTCCTCTTTTCCTCCTAACCTCTCCTCTTTCCTACTCATTCACTCCTTTCAACCTACAGAGGCAGCGGAAAGTTTGTTATTCATGGTTAAAACTAAAAGTCGAAAGGCAGTTGCTTCGCCATCCTTTTCATGTGAATATCATGTGAAAATATATCAATGATGGCGATTCAATTCACGCCTTTCGTACTTCAACTGTCTCAATTTTTGACAAAATTATCATCACATCTTTGACCAATATTTATGTTTACTAAACTGTTGGGCAAGATATAAAGATGAAGGTGATGATGATGATAAAGCAATCCATTTTTTTGCTGATTTCATTTTTCCTCCCCCTTATCTTCTGTCATCACTCCACCCACTGTCAAATACATCAATAAAATGTATTAAAGGTGATTGGGAAAAGGAAATGGGAATCAGATAGCTTCTTATAACCAAAATATACATGCATTAATGTGTACATTGATAACAATAATGTATACAAGGGTATACCTCAAGGAGTAGAATCAGAAGAAGAGAGAGAGAAGATGAAAATGATGTGATGATGAAAGGCGAACAAATAGAGTCTCATTCGCTAAGTCACTGTGAAATAGACTTGGCGAATGAAGGGAAAAATAGAGATTTGTAACAAAGAGAAGCTTAATTTTAAATATGGTAATATAATAAGGTAAGTCTATTGAGAAGTGAATACAAGTGGTTGGAAGTTTGTAAATAGCTTCTCTCTCTTTTTCTATTTTTCCTTTCTTTCCTTTCTTTTTCTCATTCTATTTTTTTTTTCTCTTCTCTTTCCATGACTTGGTCGAAAGGCGAAGGAGGCGTTTAAGGGAATCACGCTCTTGTCAAATCTTTCCCATTCTTGAATGGATGCAAAAAGAGAGGAAAAAATGAACCAAGTAAAGAGTCACCAGAAAAGGTCAGAAAAAGGCCGTAGGTTGATGCAGGTTTGCCGAGGATGATATACTTGATGGTGAAGATGCTGATGGCAATGGCGACAGTGATGGTAGTTGGAAAAAAAAGGACGGAAAATGTGATGTCGCCAAGTTATTGTGTTGGTGTGAAGAGAGTCGAGATGAACACAAAACACGGACATGATTGGCCGAGAAGGAGAGGAAGAGATGGCAAGCCGGGACAATGAGGCAAAATAAAAGTGAACATATTGGGAGTGAGCTTTTCTTTTGGAGTGCGAACGACAATTGATTTATTCATTTTTTTTTATTCATGTAACAAGACTTCAAATTGTCAGATTAAAGCAGCCAAAAGATTTTGCCCTTTTGTCATCGTAAATGGTTTGAAAATGGCACGAAATGTTTATCATCACCGTCACCATCGATATCAATTTTGTCCCAATCTCACTGTTGCAATATTTATTTGGCTCCAACCAACAATAGCGCAAAACGATTACTTTATTGTTCTCACTATTATGATTAACCAAATAAAAACTTGATCCTTCAATAGGCAGACACACACACACATCCATTGGCCTGAATGATGATATTTTGACTGATTTAACCTCAAACTGACTTATAACAATGATTGATTTACTAACTATCAAACTCACCTTTTCTTAAAACCCATTGTAAATCATACAAACGCTAAAAAGGTAACACAACATTTACAATTATCATCACCTTTACATGATTAAGTTACAAAAATATTAATCAATTCATTATCTTATCCATTCTTTTCCCATTCAGAGTAATCATTAACTAATCAACATAACAATCAATGGATTAACAACGTATATTGAAAGGCACATATTCATTGGAAAAGAAGAAGAAGGAAAAAGAAGAAGGAAAAGATGAAAATTGAAATCCATTTTGCTGTCCGTCTTTGGATGGTTACTTGGTATTCCTATTGTCACAATAATCCTTATAATTGTCATCACAAATTGTTTTCAATGGTATAATGATTCAGTTGAATACAAATTTGTTTTCTTCTTCTGAAGACTGCGTATAAAGGCGTGCTATCCAGTGCTCCACCAGGTTGTAAGGCATTCGTCAAAATACTTTCTGTCAAGTATACTTAAACCTCTTATCAACGGAAATGATAATTTGACCAACTTATCCCGAAGATGCAGATGAAGATAAAGATGATGATGACTGTTGGCAATGAACAAACTTACCCATTGCTGTTGCCCTTTGCTTCCAATAGCATAAACGTTCACTAATACATTCACGGGAATCGAGCTGCAAACATTTTTTAATAAGTTGACACAGGTATTGATGACTTATAATATTAACTGCACATCGTAGCAACGAGCTTCAAGATGAGAACTCTTAAAGCACACTTTTGGGACAATAGAAGCTCTAACTTTAGCATATTGGCTAGGTTATAAGGGAATTTTCAAGCAACTTATAAATTCAGTCATAGATTTATATTCAGTGTTAAGACCTGAGGCAGAGCTGAGAGTCTTGCCTGGTACAGTAATACCTTACCTGACAATAAGCATACAGTTATTAGTAGTTCAATATTAGCTTGTGTGTTTTACTGAAGTAATTAGGTTCAACTTTACAATTGGAAGCAATTTTTGTGGTCATTCCTTTGCTTAGGCTGATAACACGAAACAAATCACAACATTCACTTCTAACCACTAAATACAAAGTAACTTAGACCTAAAAGTTAGTTAATGGTGGTCAATCAGGCCATTTTTTTGACACTTGAAAGCTGAAAAGCTCGGGATTAAAAGCTCAATGGAAACATTTTTCTGCTTAAAAAAGTTAAGAACACAAAAAATTGTTTTCTAAACCTCTTTCAACTGTTAAAAAATGATTTCTGATAATAATACATGTTTATCTTGAATACATCTTGAATACCTGAATCCCCAAGAGATTCAATGAGAAACAATAGAAAAGACTTACAGTGGTCACTCAGAAAGTGGGCATAATTTTTTCAATGGTCCCTTTTGAGGAGGAGTTGATACAAGCTTCAATTTTGTCAATTTTAATTTCAATTTATCTCGTTTTCAATGGACTTAATTCAACTTTTGTTCGTGAAATTTTAATCAAAAAACTCCAGAAATTAATTTAAAGTGAAAATCTGAATAAAAATAATTCTATTAAGCAAGATTGAAGCTCATGAAATTGGCTACTCGATAAATAGTGAGAATAAGCTATTTCCACATTGGTGCATTTTCTGAGTGCTCGATGTATAATGATTAAGACGAGCAACGAGGGTGGTGAGAGCGAGCAAGACAGAGGTTAGTTGAGGTTGTTTTGTTTACAAGCTTCAACAACTTGTATTCACAGTTTAACATACCTATTGTAGTTAATATTCACATCTTTAACCGTCTAATCTTTTCCTTTTGGGATCAAATTTAAAGTTGGTGAGTGAATTAAAAGCTAATGCCTATTTGTTTGTTCACAATTCACATTCAATAAGGTCAATTTTCATCATTATACAATTTATATCATTAAATATCAGGCCTAGTCTTGTGTATACTCTATGCCTATACTTAGGCCTGATTTACTCTAGTTTTTTGTGTTTCTGTTTCTGCAATTGAAAGGAGGCAAACATCAAGAATGACAAAAAGAGTAAATAATACAAGTTAATAATCTCGAAGTAAATATTGATCATAACAATTACTTTTACCGCTAGATGTATTGTTACAAAAAAGAGAGAGAGATGGAGCGGTGTTCATTGATCCATTAATGGCTGCTTTCTCATCATTGTTATTGTCTCATCTTGATTCACATTTTTCACTTTAAATTAACAATAATTAACTTTTCTTTCATTTTTTTTTCTTTCCATATCTTTAGATATTCAATCATTGGAGTTATTACTTGTTAATCTAATGGTACAACACTTTTGGTTCACAGGGCAATATCATCATTTGTGTGTCCATTTTCAGCCGCTGTAACGGTTTATGGTTAATGTATGGCTCAATGGTTCCTTACCTGTGTGAAAATTTTCAGGATAATTACAGACTGACATCCAGTGGAAAAGGGATGAGATGAAGATGATTATCCAACAGCTTCTTGTTTTTACCTTCATACCGTCCAGGGTCTTTTCATCCTAGCCATTGTTAAATAATAATATTATCATGATATTCAAAAATATAATATTATTTTGGCCTCTTCAAAAGCGCATTATCAAGAGGCGATATTATCATAAACATTCAATGGGAACTTATGTTAATGTTGGACCAATTTTTTGATTTCAACCTCAATCTTCTTCCAATACTTACTGATTGCAAAGACAAAATGTTGCACTAACAGTTAACAGATATGTTTGTATGGCGATGAGATGGTCTGTTATGCTTTAGTAATAATTGTAATATGTTTAACGGATCGGTGACCTGTTAACCTATGGGAACAAAGTCATTTGGTTTTAAGGTCAATGGAAGAGTTTCACACCAGTTTCATTACTCAGTTAATAACCATCTTTAACTTTTCCAATCAACCTATTAATTATGATAAAAGTAGCGGTAATAGTCATTTAGATTTGATTATTTCCAAACAAATTGACTAGAGAAGCTACTTTCGCTTGATGTTTTTGTGGATTACCTTTTGTTGCCATACTTGTTGACGTGACTTGATACAAAAGAGGAGAGAAGATCAATTAATAACAAAAGGATAATGATGGCCAGGATTAAATATTTGATTTATCCATTTGATGATGAGAAAACTAGAGATGCAGTTTGATTAGGAATAAAAGCTGTTTTATTATGGATCAATGATCATAGTTAACATTTATTTCCCGTTCTTTTTTTAATTTGCTTTTTGCAAATACTATCTGTGATTATCGAATGTAATTCAACATGAAACTAATTGACAGTTCTTCATATCAGAAATTTCAATTGTTCCGGCCGGCAAATAAAATACATGGACCATTTGGCTTTTTGTCTAATTATCACCATCACAATCAGGATCTGACTTGGCGAAGCAAAGATATTCCTGTTTCAATTCAACTCTTTCTCTTTGATTGTTTCATCAATTCATTCCTCTTCTCTGTTTGAATTGGAAATGCTTAGTTTTGATCCGTTTATCCGTTTCCACAATGATTGATGCTGATTGTTTCCTAAATGTTACATAGTGACGATGATTATTTTATATTATACATTGTATATTATACATTATTGTATTACATTATATTTAATATCATTCTATACTATACTATATTATATTTATATACATATATTTATACATTGACACATATAGTCAGGAATGGCAGCAAATAAAACCAATGTACAAGAACAAAACAACAACATTAAATGATAATATTAACAAGAGAAAACAAAAGAGGATAGAAGTGAAAGTGAGAATGAAACCGGAACAGAAATGATGAGATTGGTGTAGTGAGTGAGGGTCCAATGCTGACCAATTAAAAAATAAAATAAATATGGTGAAGTAGATTTGAATGACTTTGTACAAATAATTCACAGTTGAAGACGATTCAGAATAAGTTAGTCAGAGTATTTCTCAGGATGATTTTCGCAGAGTATTTGTAATTGCCATTCAGATTGCTCTGTGTTTTCTGACAATTCAGATTGTTTTCAGAGCATTGAATGAAGCAATTTGTAACAATTTGATTGATACATTCAAACATCACATTTGAGCGAAAAAGAAGGTTTGTTTAGTCATTTGATTGGTTCAATTTTTGAGTTGGAAAATTTAGATAACATCAATTTTATATCCAAATGCAAACGACTTGGCGACTATGCACTAACGGGCGATGCTGGTGAACGAGGTGTTAATGAGAAGAACGAGTCTTTGGAGTTGGCAAGGTGAATATTAGTGGAAATAAGTGACCAAATTATCAATTTTCAAGTTTAGGCTCCACGAATCAAAGGATGGCAACTGATTGATTGAAACCATTTTTAAAGTATATTTTTATGTAACAAGTGATATTGACTTTTTGTTTTCACTTTTTTAAACCTTTCAAACAATTTTCAGGTTCAAGACCAAAAGTTAATTGATTTATCTCCTTACTGATGAATGATGTAACCATTTGTTGTTGATTGTTGCATGAAACACAAAACAAATCATAATGAATGAATGGCTACTTAAATTATGTTTATCAATCCATCCAAATACAAATATCAGTACAGCTTTGGTCAGTGTGATCTTCCAAGGCGAAAAGGTCTTCTAATGAGATTCATTTCCTTTTGCTGTAAACTGAAAGCACAAACAATTTGATTGTCACAATCGTAAACCAAAGATGTTGCTGATTATCTTGATGGCCTTAATCAAAATCAATATTTTCCAATCTTGAGATTTGAAAGAAAATTGCATAATAATAATGCAATATGTCATGAAAAAATTAAACAAGCTGGTGGACAAGAGTCGATGTTGAACACAATTTCAATCAACAGCATCAGTAATAAATTAAGTCGGATGCATCTCGAATGATGATTCACACTGTTGAAAGCTTGAAGATCAACTTCCCTGTAAACTTGATTGTTTCAAATCAGTCGACTCAGATCATCAATTTTATATCCAAATGCTAACGACTTGGTGATGATGTACTAACGGGCGATGCTGGTAAACGAGGTGTTAATGAGAAGAACGAGTCTTTAGAGTTGGCAAGGTGATTACTAATACTGGTTTGATGATGATTATGGTTATTGTGATGAGAGTTATGATGAGGATTGTGATGATCCGCTCTTGAAGTTAAGCCTAAAGACCACATTGGAGGTGTAGTTGCTCCTAGAAACATGGCCTGGAAATAAGAAACAAAACAAGAAAAACAACAAAATTAGTCCAAAATAATTTCAAAGTTTCTGTGCTTGACCAATGGTATATTCAGGCCTGAGTTATTCAGATGTAGATAGAGTTAATCCACTGCGGTTAATCCAGTAAATAGTATGTTAATAATAAATCACATTGAAAAAACACACTTGCTACTGTTTAACTTTCTAATTCTGAGTGTTTTCAGCTGTTTCCAAAATTATCGGATTTAACTTATTCCCATGTTTACCTAGGTAAGTAAGTTAGGTTGACAATTTTGAGTGGCAAGAGGCTTTTGAGTGTAAGTTTATTTTTTAAAAAATTTATCATATTCTTACCCTAGGTAAATTCAAGGCTGGAAGGCAAAAGGGTGAGAAACTGTGGATAAATGGTGGTGCAAATGCAGGATGACATGGACATGATAAATTTAATGGTAATGATGGAAGTGAACTTGGTGATGGAAGTCTGGTTGTTAGTGATTGATCATTTGGAGAACCCAAACCAAAGGAAAGTAATGGTGAACTTTTAGATCGGAGAAACAGAGCCTATGGAAAGAAAAATGAACATTAAAACTTGTAGGTTAATATTATATCCTAATTTGGTCCTCATCATGTATAATGATGATTAAAAACACACACAAAAATTATCACACCTGATCAAGTCCAAAAGTTTGTCTCCTCTGAGTTGCGTTTCGAGGTCCTCTTTCATGCTGAACAGCGTCTTTATTCATTCCAGCTTCAGCACATTTTCTCAATCTACAAGCACGACACTGATTGCGATGAATTTTATCAACTGGACAATTATTGTTTGATGCTCCTCTTGCTTTGCAAGTGTATTTTCTGTCCTTTCTAATTGATCTCTAAACACAGCACAAAAATGGTTGATGATAATTCCGGTATCAATTATGACAGGTACAAAACACAGGCACAGAATAAGGAAAAGGAAAAGGAAAAACAAAAGGAAAAGAAATTAAAATGAAATGATTGATAAAAATAATTGTTGTCTCAAGTAATGGAAAATTGAAATGAAGAGAAAAACTTACTTTGAAAAATCCAGCACATCTAATTTTAATTGTAAAATGATAAAGAGAAAGAAAAGAGATCAATATTAATGCAAAATTAATTTTGAAGATTCAAGTCTAAGGTTTTATGCTTACCCATCACAAGCATAGATCCCGTAATGTTTGCCTGATGAATGGTCTCCGCACACTTTGCAAGGTACGTCTAATAATATTCTACCTGTTTGATTGTTCATGGATAGATGATGGAATAGTGGTGAAAATAAGAAACAAAGGATAAGTTATCAACCAGAATGTGCTCGATATCAGCTCAACAGCGAATTGGAAATGAAAAAAAAGTTTATATTAAAAAGATTGAGCATTTAGGATTGATTATAGTACAGTATAGTGAGAACAGTATATAGTACAAGCCAAACAGCAAATAAAGAGCGATACTTTTTCATCCGAGAGAAGAGGCGTTGGTGGCGTAAAACATGAGGGCGCTGATATCAGTCTCACTCTTTTACTGGTTAACTTGATAGTTAACTAATACTGTTATCCACATTAACATTCACAATCTTCAACTTTTATTCCTAGTCTTTCATTGAATGGATCCATGCTTTATTAGCGGATATAAGTGACCAACTTATCAATTTTCAAGTTTAGTTTCCATGGATCAAAGGACACAATTTAATGGAAACTGATTGATTGGAACCATTTAACTTAAAGTATATTTTGATATAACAAGTGATATTGACTTTTTGTTTTCACTTTTTTAAACCTTTCAATTCCCAAGTTCAAAACCAAAAGTTAATTAATTTATCTCTCTATCGATAAATGATGTAACCATTTTTTGTTGATTGTTGCATGAAACACAAACAAATCATAATGAATGAATGGCTACTTAAATTATGTTTATCAATCCATCCAAATACAAATATCAGTACAACTTTGGTCAGTGTGATCTTCCAGTTGCAAAGATTTTCTTATTAGATTCATTTCCTTTTGCTGTAAACTGAAAGCACAAACAATTTGACTGTCACAATCGTAAACTAAAGATGTAAATGGTTACGTTGATAATCTGGCCTTAATCACAATCAATATTTTCCAATCTTGAGATTTGAAAGAAAATTGCATAATAATAATGCAATATATCATGAAAAATTAAGCAAGCTGATGGACAAGAGTCAATTTCAATCAACAGCATAAGTAATAAATTAAGTCCGGGTGCAAATGATCAAATCAAATGATACTTTGACACACTTTGATACTTACACCGTTGACCCCTTGAAGATGAACTTCCCTGTTGAACTTGATTGTTTCAAATCAGTCGACTCAGATCATCGTGTTCCAAGTATAACCAAAAAGATGGATATTCATTCAATTAAGTCTAGTTTAATTGTATCAATTTATTTTGAATGATTTGTCCAATCTTATAAAACAATGGAAAGATAAACATTGAACATTAAAACAAAGTCATACAGTCAGTCCCAAAGAGTAAAGAAGACTCCTTTACTCTTTAGTCAATCCTCTAAAGATTAACTTTGAGAGAGTTGACTTTATATCATTTGTGTGTCCATTTTCAGCCGCTGTAACGGTTTATGGTTAATGTATGGCTCAATGGTTCCTTACCTGTGTGAAAATTTTCAGGATAATTACAGACTGACATCCAGTGGAAAAGGGATGAGATGAAGATGATTATCCAACAGCTTCTTGTTTTTACCTTCATACCGTCCAGGGTCTTGGGTCTCTTCATCCTAGCCATTGTTAAATAATAATATTATCATGATATTGAAAAATATAATATTATTTTGGCCTCTTCAAAAGCGCATTATCAAGAGGCGATATTATCATAAACATTCAATGGTAACTTATGTTAATGTTGGGCCAATTTTTTGATTTCAACCTCAATCTGCTTCAAATACTTACTGATTGCAAAGACAAAATGTTGCATTAACAGTTAACAGATATGTTTGTATGGCGATGAAATGGTCTGTTATGCTTTAGTAAACCAGAATTAGCGAAATAATTGTAATATGTTTAACGGATCGGTGACCTGTTAACCTATGGGAACAAAGTCATTTGGTTTTAAGGTCAATGGAAGAGTTTCACACCAGTTTCATTACTCAGTTAATAACCATCTTTAACTTTTCCAATCAACCTATTAATTATGATAAAAGTTGAGGAGATAGTTATTTAGATTGGAATTTAGAGCAAAACAAATTGACCAGAGAAGCTTCTTTCGTATGAACGATCTCCACACACTTTCAAAGGTACATCCAATAATGTCTTACCTGATTGTTCATGGATAGATGATGGAAAAGTGTTGAAATAAGATACAAAAAAGTTACCAGATTGGAGGAACACCTCATGAGGAGTGAAAATATGTTAATTTAGGATTGTTTATACTCTATAGTACAGTGTGAGGGTAGAGACAGAAGCCAACTTGGGGCGAAAGCTGAGGGGCCTGTCCCACCCTTTCCGCTATTTCTTGCCCAGTTTCCATCTTTTGTTTTCCTCAACCAATTACCTGACCAATTGTAATCAATGTTGGCATCTATCATGGTTTGGTTTAGCTTCTCACCTGTAACCTGCTTCCTAAATGAAAATCATTTTAATGTAACCTTTTCCCAACTTCTGATCCTTCTTCATCTACTTTCAAGTGTTCAGTTAATAGCACTCGTTTAATATGAATGCCAGTGTCGGCTGTGTGTGCCTCGATTGATGTTAGACACTTAATAGAGAAGGAAGAAGAAGCAAAAATTTAGTTGATTGAAATATCATTTTATATTATGATCAAGTACACAAGTACAATATTCAAAGTGTAAGTAGCAGCTTTTGTTAAAATTGAAAGGCAGTGTTATGAGAAGTGTAATGTGTTAGTGTCACAAACGTATGACAACAAAAACAGCAAAAAAATAGGAGATTGTGAACAGAACTATTAACACTAAATTATTGTTATATAAAAAAAGTGACAAAAATTATGTGAAGCATTTTAGGAAAGCCAAGGAAGCAAGTTGAAACCAAAGGCAAAATGGGCCAAAAGTAGATTAACAATGAGCAAATGACAATTGGCCATTGTTAAGATCGTAGTTGTTGTTGTGACAAAAATATCTCAATCTTCAAGTGATACTTCAATGATGAACTTTTATTATAAAATCACTAATAAGATTATCCAATCTTGAACAGAGAGAGACAGAAGAAGAGAAGGAAAAAAGCTGAATGATGATGAGATGATTGAATAATTTTGCTTTTCAATTAAACCTTTTCGCATTAATATCACAATATTAACAAAATTATAGATCATGTTTAACCAGATTTTACCAGTTTCCAGTTTTAACGATGTTTCTCAGGTTTCATCCGATAATCAACTTGAACCAGGCTTGAACAAAGGGTTATCATTAATAAGGCTAATCTGTAAATCTTTCAACTTAACAACCCAATTGACCTCGAATGTCGCTCTATTTATCAAAATTAATAACTGCTACTGGAAGGATTAATTTAGGTTCCTGGTTAGGCCTCACATTTACAATGAAATATGTTTACCATCAAATCAGCTAATATTTGAGTTTAGCTCTTACAAGTGGTTGTGATTTCAATGACAATTTTATTGATATTTATTGAACGGTAAAGGTGTTAACAGTTAACAAATTGTTCAATTGTTAGAGAGTGAATTAAACTCTTAAAGTTGGATAGTCCATTAACAGATATCAAATTATGTATGGTAAAGGTAGACAAAAGTATTGGCAGGGTTGAAATGGCTTCAAAGTTTTGATTTGGACCTTTGTTAACGGGTTTAGTGGTTGAGGTCATGGGTCAAGACAAATATTTTTATATTGATTATTATTTGCTCCAATCACATTATTTCATTTCAACATTTTCTTGGATTCCTGTCTTTCAGTTAAAATGGTTACCATTCATTTTTTGTTGTTGGCTTGACAATTTGTTTTGTTGTGTACAATGGTCATTTGATATGTCACCTTTTTGCTGTCGTTTTGTTGTCCCATGTCACTGGGGCTGGTGATGTGGTCAAAAATATTAGACCACAATAAAAGGAGAGAAAAAAAAGTCTTTTAAAACATTTATTGTTATTAATGTTGCCATTACGTTTCTAAAAGTAGAAGAGGTTGAAAGAAATATTTAATAATGTAAAAGGTTTGAAAATTTGCATTGATTATGAAGTTCATGGATTTATTGTGGTCTAACTATCTTGATTGTCGCTTGGATATTAATCTGGATAAATCTTCTGTGATTCTGTAATGATTGAGAGGATATTAAATTGTAGCTGAGCAACAAAAAAAGACGATTAACTTTATATCCTTAGTTAATTGTCATGTTTGTGTAAGCCAGTGGACAAAACGGTAATGAGTAAAATTTCAATTGGTAAATGAACAAATAGGAGATGATTATCTTTCAATGGTCAGGTTTAGAGGATGGAACAAAAGATGTTTGTTTCTTGTCTTCTTGCCTTTTTCATGTCTCTAGGTAGCTCAATGAGCATACTATTTGAGCAAGATTAGGGTCAATAGAGAGAGAGAGAGAGAGAGAGAGAGAGAGAGAGAAGGTCAGGGGTGGTCATTGGCCATTTCAAATCAAGAGCAATGTTGTTGAGTGAGACTCACTTGAGACGCTTTATAGGATTGTCTTGTTCATCATGATTACACTGTTGATGGTAATGATGATGACGATGGTTATGGTGTTGACTGGGACAAGTATGGATTGAAAAAGGCAAAAGGTATTACCGGCTAAAATTTACTATGGTTCAATCGGTAAAAGTGATTTGTGAAAAGTTGTCCAAACAAAAGGGGATCAAAAAAGTAATACAAGTTGCAAGGCAATAACTAAAGGACGCATAGCCACACACATGACTATAACAAAAAGAGCGAGGCTAAAACCAAAGAGCGCAGAGGTAGGTGTAGATAAAGGTTACGTCTCCATTGATTCAGAAAATTGGTCTCTTTTAAAGTCTACAACAGAAGCACACAAAGACAAATCGTTAAAACCAAAAGCAGAAAGAAAGGTTCATAAGCTAATACATGGATATAACTTATATGTTACCTTATTGGCGTATAATATATTTAAATATATTTTACTTTTATTCTTCTTCTTCTTTTGCTTCCATTTAACTTGTATACAGTTTGAACTGTATTATTTTGGGATTGAAACTCCCTGAGTGGAAAAAGTCTATCCGTATTCAGGACTTATCTCTCTTTCCATTCTTCTCTTTAATACAGTCTAAATAATAATGGCCATAATAATATAACCATAATCATAAAGGCTGAAAAACAGTCAAGACCGTTTTTTTTTGTTGTGTTGTTGTCACTGTGCTTTGACTGCATTTCTCACCGCAACATAACCACCTCACTTTTATGTTCATTTGTGTCTACCTAATCAACATCATTTTCATCTTCCTCATTATTGTCCTGATACAATTTCATTGATAGGAGGAGGGTTTAGGTTAGAGGGTTGGCATCGTAAGTTAGGCAAGGTCTTTGCGTCTTTCTGTGTGTTTGTGTCTGCGTATTGCTAGTAATAACGTTTATGTTGTGATTTCTTTCTAATATCAATTGTGACTATTGACATTTTGCTTTGTCAAACTTGACGAAAGGAAGATGAAAAGACTTTTGACTATCTTGGAAGTGAAAAAAAGATTTAACTTAAGAAGGAGGATGGAATGGGGTAAAAAGTGCTTTACAATCGCCGTTTTCCCTTTGCCTTTATATATTTTGATTCTTGATGTATTAATATTAACATAAGCATCATTATCGTCATCTTGTGATAAATTGATTTTCAACAATTAAACTAATTTTCTACTTCTTTCGTTTGTAACAGCGACAATGGCACAACGACAATAATACCAAAATCGGCCCAACTTGATGTACACTTGAAGGACTTGGAAGTTTCCTTTGAATTTGCATCCATAACTAACTCCGGCTTGGACAAGAATCGATTCCAGTTGCTGTTTAATCAAGAGGTGAATCCTGCTTCAAATGACCTGAAAAAACGGAAAACAGAGTTAAAATTATTCATATAATAATATGCTTTAAAGCATAATATAGACAATTAGTTGAATCAGGATCAAGGATCAAGAGAGTCAAATGTTTCTTAAAATTATGGATTTGAATAACACCTAATTGGGATACTCGACTGTATTTTATTTAATATATTGGATAATTTGCAACTTTATTGTAACAAATTATAAAAGCATAATTTGCGGCTTGTTGAACATTAAAATGCTCAATTGAGTTGAAAAAAATTTTCTAAATAAATATTATAACATTATAATATGTTATCTGTATGTACTTGATAGTTGAAGCACCTTAAAAATGTCTATAGAAAGGAGCATCGACTACAAAAAAAATTGTCGTCATGTTGAGTGAATACATGAATGAACAGATAAGATGATTACATTGGCCTAAATTTTCATTTGTGTTTGGTTAGTTCAACAGGTAAAATTGAGCAAAATAATGTTTAACCATAAAGCCAACATGATTTGCAAATTAGTGAAGCGTAATTGATTCACGATTGATTATTATTGTTATGGTTATGATTATTATTATTGTAAGAAATGTCATATGGCTTTGTCCTTTTCAATACTGGTTGGAGCCTGCAAAAGAAAAGAATGAGAAGAGAAAAAAAAGAGAAATATTAGAAGATGGAGAATAAAAAGAATACGTTTAAACCTATTGTTAACTTAAAATGAACACCGAATGATTGCCGTTTTGACATTTCATCTGATCTCCATCACATGCACCAATTCAATGGATATTTATCATTATCAAATATCAGTCTGATTCATCGGCTTTACGATCAATCCTTTTCAATATTTCTCTCTTTAACCCTTATTTAGATTGGATTAGCATTTTTGTCCATTTTTTCATTGAAAATCAAGTTTATAACAAAATGTTCAATATGAACTTTACGCTTTTTCACTGTCAATCTTTTAGTACCGATGGCGTCAAGCTTATAATGAAAACAATAGCTGGATGTCCTTCTTTTACTAACAAGATGTTGTGAAGCGTCAGAATCTCGAACAAGCTGGACTCTTCCACCAAAGCGCAACTGAATCTTGGATCCTTTAATTTTGAAGAAGCGTTTTGTTCTCAGAGCACAAGCACGGTCCATCAATGTTTTAGAAGGGTCATAAAGCCTATAAAATAAAGTAAGAATCTTCGTCCATTCCAATTAAATCTCCAGGTTTCAAATATTCAGGTTCAACCAAACGACAGAGAGAATATGCGTCTGATAAATGTAAAATTTTTGAAAAAATAGAAATGAATTAGGAATATAATCAAGCTATGAATAGATTGAATGAATTTACCTGTTTTGTTGATATTTTTATCCCAGCAGTGCTTTTGTGCTGTAAGTCTAGCTCAACGCCTCTCCCGTCCTCTTCCTGTTGCTATTCGGAATCCGAAAGTAATGGCTCTGGAAACCATATAATTCCATTGGTGATTGGAGTTCATGGCAATCTTCATAACTTGGCTCCTCATAATTTCCTTGTTTAACAAGCGCGTTCGTCCAATAATATCATCATTTAACCTCTTTTCACTGACCATCAAGAGAGAAAGAATAAAAAATTAAAATTAGTGAAAAATAACATTAAGATTTGTTTTCATTTAAATTATTTTGAAATTACAAGTGCTTCGTCATTCTAGCTATGAAAAGATAAATTTGTCAGCAGCAAAAAGCAGACAATAAGAAATGAGAGTCAGAAATAATTTAGGTGACAAAAACCAATCAAAACTTACTTCAAGATCTTCCATTGTTGTATCAGTGTCGGCCATGATTAAGAAAATTAAAGGATGATTAACTAATTGGAAAAAATGTATCAAAAACAAAATTAAATTTGAGAAAATGCTCGAATAATTGCAACTGGTTGTAATCCAAAGCCATCCTCTATTTTCATCAACATCAACGTTACAATCAATGTCATTATTATTATCTTCTTGGGTTGACAGTCTTTCTTTGCTACAATATGCTTCTTAAGCCTTTAATTGTGGTTAATACGTGATTAACTGTAATTAAGTGAGACCATGGATCATATTTAGTGAAACCAAGGGAATTAAAATTTAAAATTGTATTGAATAGTGCATAATACACTAGTCAATAAGTAGTCAATACAAAAGAGAAAAAGTAGACAAAAAAAAAGGATTGAAAGCAAAGGGCATAAGTGAAAATGTAGACTCATTTTCTTGTCAAATTTTTGCAAAGTTCATTTTTTGGATAATTCAAAGATCGGATTAGACTAAAATCTTATGGAAATGTCAGCTCCACTTTTCTGAAGTAGTGTAAAGTTGAACAAATTTCATTCAGATCAACGAACAATAGACATCATCATTCTAATTATCTACCAGTAGTTTCATTATTATCAATAGACAATTGTTAAGGTTATTTACAGTTTCATTTCTTTGACTCTTTCATCATTATGGATTTTAGGCTCAACATTATCCTGTTCCTTGATTAGTTTGGGTCAACAATAAATCAACTACTCACCCACTAACCATTTTCGCCTAAGAAATGTATCGCAGTCTTCGGGTATCTGCTTATCTTGGTCCATAAACTCAAAACCAAAAGGCTGCTCTTACAAGTTGGAGATTAAGAAGCATGAAAAAAAGGAATAAGTTAAAATTTTAAAAAATTTAATCAAATATGATGTTGATTTATGATTAATGCTTACCAAGTAACAGTTCTTGACCACCTAAAAGTTAAAAAACACTCACAATTTGAATAGAGTTGACTTTAAACCGTTGACTTTTGATCCTGGTTATTCAAAGAAAGAGAGAGTGAGAGAAGACAGTAAAACATAAACAATGCATATTATGCGAAATTTGAAGACAGTGAGAAAATATTTATACCAATTAGCCAATCAAACCCTTTTGCTGTCTTTTTTTATTTCTTTCTTTCTTTGACTTTGTTTATTTTCTAATTGCTGCTTGAATAAATATTATAATTATAATAAGTACATCGTCTTATCTTTGTTACTGTTTGTTGTCTCGTCAGTCAGTTAACAACCGCCATGTTTTATTTTGACTTCTTGCAATGTTTTTGGTAGAGACATTTTTGTTGGCCGATGATGAATCGTTAAATGGTCAGTTGAGTTGTTTAAGAGACAATTGACTGACTCTTTGTTTCAACCATCTTTTTATTGTGTTTCAGTCCTCATGCATTTTATATTTCTTACTTTTCGCTTTATCTTTTATTCAATTTCAACCTCCGTTCATAGCCACAGAATGGCTGATTGCTGCTGATCATTTTCTATACTTAAAGTGGTCCATTGCTGATCTGATTACTCATGTTTTTCAGCAATAAACCCTTGTGTCATTTAAAAGGTGCCATCATCAACTTAATCATCAAAATAAACAAAGAAATTATTGTTTTCTTCAAACCTTTCTTTTAAATCTTGTACGCTGATCTTTAAAATGATGTAATATGAAAAATTCCTTCATCTGTTGACATAAATTTATTAGTCGACAGTTGTTTTTTTTCTATTGTTAGATCTCCATCTGAAAGTATCATTTTTATCAAGTTTAAAAATTGACATCGAAGGATACCTGCTGAAATCTGTTCAACTTGGATTAGATCTGATTAAATATTTCATATTATGGTCTACTGCTTAACATAAAATGGTTAATCTATCATGTAAGTCATTTTTATAGCTAATTTTTTGATATTTTGAAAAAGCTATTCATTAACATTTTTCGAATTTTTTCTCACACTTAGCTTCTCAAGCCACATCGCTTTCTGAATTCATAGCGTCAACTCATCAAGACTCAGTTGCTATTAGTTCTTTCTCCTGTGCAAATTATTTTTATTCTTGTGATTATTCAATGGATAGTATTTGTGATCTAATAATGAATCCTGACGGTCAAGACTCAAATCCTTTCATGTTTCAATTGAGTTCTTCTACTTTTTTATCTCAAGCTTCATCGCCATCACCAATCGATCATGTTCGAGTTGAATTAATTGGTCAGCCTGATGAATTTCCTCCCTTTTCAGGAAATAGTGCCCTCTTTGAAGAATTTAATGATGTTAATCTAACACCTGCCTTTTCTGTTGAAGACGAAGGTGATGATACCAGTGAAAATGCCAAAGAAAATATTTCCGCTCATGGACTTCTGATGACTTGTTTGAATCAGCTCTCAAAAGATGGTGATTTTAGACGTTCCCAGTCCTTGTCTCTCTCTCAAAGATCTCAAAATCAAAATTCACAAAGATCTCAAGATAATATTTTTCAATTAAAATCATTGGACAACTCAAAGAATCAAAGTTTTGATAATTTTTCTCAGCCACAAGCGTTTTCTAGTTCCTATGGATCATCCCATGGTTCAATCGGTGGATTTAATGAATCTCAAAACTTACCTGCCTCTCAACCCTCAACTAGTCAGGAAGGCTCTTGTTGCAAGAAACATTTGAAATACTTCCAGAAACCGGCCAAAAGTGGCAAAAAGCAAATAATTGAGGATTGTATCATTGATATTCATGCTTTATATTCTTCGACCCACAATGGATATCTGAAACCACCTTTTTCACATAACATGCTATGTGCCTTAGCTATCTGTAGTGTTCCTACTCGTCAACAAGAAGTATCTGAAGTTTATAGATTTTTAATGTAAGTGTTTTTTTTTGTGTTTCACCATTTTTTTCAGTTTAAAAATTCTGATTAATTTTTATCAACAGGGCTTGTTTTCCTTACTTCAAAATTGCTGGTCAACATTGGAAAAATTCCTTAAGACACAGTCTAGCTACCTGTGATTGGTTTGCTAAATCAGATAGCCCAAGAACTGCCAAGAAAGGGTATAAATACACCATAAGATTGAGTAAAAAGAATTGCTTAAAGTGCGAAATCAAGAAACAATGCGTTTTTGATTTGACAAAGCTTCATTATCGATTATCAGGCCCAAGTAAGTTTGATTTAAACAACATTCATCATAACTTTAAAATTAAATTGTTTCTCTTCTCTATTACAGCCGTTTGTGAATTTCTAATCAACATGGGTTTGATTTCATTGAGTCACGAAAAACTCGCCGAGCTTCGACAAAAGAATAGGGAATTCTATACTTCATTTCCCGATGGAATCAAAATTGAAAATCCTGAAGAATAATGGCTGCTGGAGCTTCATGAGTTTATATTCAATCATTCCTGTTTCAATTTTTAATATCCTTAAAAATTCTAATATTCTTCTATTAACAATTTTCCTGGTAGATACTAAAAAGCTATCTATCTATATTTTCTGACCTTTTTTGGATAATTACCGAATTTCCCGACAGTGCATTTATTTCAAAACGCTATGATAGCTTGTTTTTTATTCACGATTCCGACTCTAATTGAATTATTGCTGTCAATTGGAAGAGACATCATATTTGATCATTCACACAGATTTATGATTTTACGTTCCGAACATAAATTTTTATGCACATATATACTTATTCTTATTGTATCTACCTGTTATATTGTAATCAAAACAAAATTAAATTTCATCTGTTTTGATTTATAATTTGATTTAATTTCATTTTTTTATTTTCCAAATTTGTTACTAATTTTATATAATCTCCTGAAAACAAAATAGCATAAAAAAGGTTCAAGGAACAATGAAAATCATTAGACAATCATTATAAACAAGGATTTTTAATGAAACCATTCTAAATCATTTACAATGACTTTTTAATTGAATATATAATTAGGCGTAATAGTTGAGATTTGTCTTCTTTTTAGCCTGTACTTCCAAAATAGCGTCCATAAAATCTTCATGGATTACTATAGATGCATTACGACGTAAAGCAATCATACCAGCCTCAACGCAAACTGCTTTACACTGGGCACCATTAAAATCGTCCGTACAGCGGGCTAATTCTTCAAAATTAACTTCATGATGAACATTCATTCGCCTGGAATGAATTTGCATTATGCGAGATCGAGCCTCCTCATTGGGATGAGGGAATTCGATTTTTCTATCCAAACGACCGGATCGAAGTAAGGCTGGATCAAGAATGTCTACTCTGTTTGTAGCAGCTATAACCTTTATATCAGATTGAGAACTAAATCCGTCAAGCTGGTTAAGTAGTTCCAACATAGTTCGCTGCACTTCACGATCACCAGCTTTTTCACTGTCAAATCTCTTGGTACCAATAGCGTCAAGCTCATCTATGAAAATAATAGCTGGAGCTTTCTCTTTAGCTAAAGCGAAAGCATCTCGAACAAGCTTGGCTCCATCACCAATGAACATCTGAACTAATTGTGGACCCGCCAGTTTAAGGAAAGTTGATTTTGTTTGTGCTGCACAAGCACGAGCCATTAAAGTTTTACCAGTACCGGGAGGACCGTAAAGTAAAACACCTTTAGGTGGCTGGATACCGATGTTCTCGAATTTTTCTTTGTGAGTCATTGGCAAGACAACAGCTTCGATAAGTTCTTGGATTTGTTTATCTAAACCTCCGATATCATTATATTGTTCTGTTGGACGCTCGTCGACTTCCATCGCTTTAACCCTTGAGTCGTATCTAGATAGAAATGAAAAAAGTTGAATTAAAATCTAGTAAAAAATAAAATATTAACATGAGGTTCAAAGTTTACTTACTCAGCTGGTAAAGTCTCTAAAACCAGATAAGAATCTTTGTTCACTCCAACTAAATCTCCGGGTTTTAATTTTTCAGGTTCAACCAAACCAATGACAGGAAGAAAATAAGTCTGTTAAAGGTCAGATTTGTGAAAAATGGTTAGTAAAATTGAAGGTACAGGAGAAACAAATAAAATAGTATGAAATTAGATAGAATGAATTTACTTGTCTAGTCGATGTTTTTATCACAGCAGATTTGCCTTTCCTTTGAGAGTCTAGATCAATATGTCCTCCGTCTTCTTCCTGTTGCTCTTCAGAATCCAAAAGTTCGATGACACTGGAAACTAAATAAGGCAAAGTTTTGTTCACCTTAATTTTTTCAGTGTTTTCTTTGATTTTCTCCTTTTGTGATTGAAGTTCATGGCTGATCCTCATAACTTCACTCCTCATAATTTTGATTTCATTGTCTAACAAACGAGTTCGACTAATAATATCATCATTTGACATCTTCATGACATCTTCTCCGACCATCTGAGAATCAAGAGAAAAGGAATAAAAAATGACAATTAGTAATAAGTAACAATAAGATTTGTTTTCATTTGAATTATTTTGAAATTACAAGAAGTGCTTTGTCATTCATGTTATAAAGGGATACATTTGTCAGCAGCAAAAAGCAGACAATAAGAAATAAAGAGCCAGAAATAATTTGGTGACAAAAACCAATCAAAACTTACTTCAAGATCTTCCATTTTTGCATCAGTGTCGGCCATGATTAAGAAAATTAAAGGATGATTAACTAATTGGAAAAAATGTATTAAATAACAAAATTAAATTTGGGAAAATGCTCAAATGATTGCAACTGGTTGCTAACAAGAGCCATCTATTTTTCATTTAGGTAACTAGCTCAGAGGCGCTAAAAGCTACTTCAATATAAGTCGAAACGAGAAATAATTGAATTACAAATTCTAAATTTAATCGAATAATTTTATTTTATGATCTATTTCAACACTAATTATCTTCTTTATAATTTATAGACCTGTTAGTCTTAAATACTCTCAGATCTATCAAGACATCGTGTCCATTCTGGTTTGATGACATACACCAATATTCATTTAAAAGATGGAAATCATGTTTGTTAGCAAAAATTCATCCGTTATTCATGTTGCCGTTGACTGTCTCCACAAATAAATATGGCATTTGTGGGCGTCTAAAGGATAATTTTTTATGGTGAAGAAGTGGGTGTTCAAATATTTGATCTGCAATTAAAATAACCTGAAATTGAATCGCAGCCTGATTCTTATTCGTGATTAAGAGCAGAAACTGGAGGAAAAAACCAACCTGGTTGCTTTGACAAAAGAAAATAATCTCACTTGATGTAAAAACGTGTAAGAAATGAAAAAATTTACTCATCAACGATTACTTTCATTATCTAATTGGCAAATTTTCAATTATACCAACCCGATGGACATTGAACTCTCTTGTACTTTCCAATTTGACTGTTATGGCTCAAGACTTCTAGACTTGGTTGTATAATCTTTAATTCAAGAAAGCTCAGTTGCTCAATTCCAACATCTTCAAGCCCTTTGATCATTCAATTAATGTGGTTCAGTTAATTGATTGATTAGCTTTAGATACATTGATTATCATACTTCTCCTTTTGGCTTTCATGTATATCATGTTTCACCAGTTATTTGCGTAAATAGCGATTACTTCACTTTCTGTCTTGGTACGGAGGCTTTTATGCTAAGATAATCAGGCAATGAATTTTTTTCCGTTTTCCTGAATCCTCCAACCTGAGAAAGCCAAGCAAATGCAAATGTAGCCTCCAAGACTCATCTTTGATGGTTAAAGATCAATTTTTTGAAATACTAGGAAGTTATCAGTCAAATAACAGGTAAAATCTTTGACTTCAGCTTGAGCTGTAATTTAAATCTGAATTCTTTGAGATTACCAATCCTATTATAAAGAATTACATTGATCTTTGGTTAACATCACTAACTAATTGTTATGTAAACATAACCTAGCAAATTGCTAGCAAAAACGAAAGTCTATTTAACCTGTAAACTGTGAATAATGGGAAAAAGTGAAGTGTTTTACAAGATAAGGAATGTATGAAATAATAAAAGCGAAAAATTTCATCATTTATTGCTTTTAGTGTAAGTGCCTTAAAAGAGGAATGTGTTTTCGCGTGTGATTATACAATGAAAAACATTATTAACCAACAATTAACCAATTCCCTTCCAAATAGAATGAACTCAGTCCAGGTTAATTTAACACCGCCTTGATGGTTACTAAACGATAGCTTGATGTGAATCTAAACGTGTATGCAAAAAAAAGCTTTTGTTGAATTGTAAGTCTAAATGGTTGATTCTTGTATCAATGAAAATGAATTAAACAACGAGCCAAAAAAAATTCAACCTACTCATTTAGCAGATCAGTGCTGGTTGATTTGTTGTGAACCTTTTGTTTCGAATGTTCAATCAACTTTATTTCATCTTCACTTCTCTCTTTTATTCCATACTCAATAATAGATTAACTCCTGCATCTCAAGTTGACTGATTTTGGCATCTATTATAATTATCAACATTTCAACTGACCAGATAAATATGTTTTTAAACAATACATCATCACTGTTCAACTGTAAGAAGATGGAAATGGCCTCAGCGGAGAATCAAACTGTTGGACGAATGACAAGGTTGAGAGAAACTGAACTAATTGAGAATATCATTGAAGATTATTAATGACAATTGACTGTATTGACATCAACATAGTGCTATCAGATTGAACCCGATTCGATATGATAAAGTTGGCAGGAAAGGTGTAAGTTGTGAAGACAAATGTGAAGTGATTTTTGTTGTAAGATATTTAGTTAATCATTGAACATTTTTCTTCTCTTCCAGTTTGTTAATAATGTCAACAACGTTGGATTAATGGTGTTACTTTTCATGTTCAAAAAAAGGAGTAAAGATGATCCATTGAAGTGAGCTACAAAAAGGAACCAGTCTCTGATATCAGATAACGTGAAGAAAAATATTGTAACCAGAAAAAAGTGGAGCTTAACCAATCTATTTACAAATTTGCAAATCAGATCAGAAGAAACTCAAGATGATGATGAGAACGTCATTAGGGAAGGAAGTCTAAGGAAGAAGATCGAGAGGGTTAGAAGGAAATACTCTCAATGAATATATAAAAAGGAAAAGAAGGTTGAAATAAAAGCTGTTACAAGTTGGAAATGGTGAAGCTTTTTTTCTCCTTTATCCCATCTTTATTGAACTGATTCCAAAAGCTGGTAATAATAGTAAAGTTACCCTCAAATTGATTACATTATTAAAGACGTCAACCAAGAGTGTAGAGAAAGAGAAAAAGCGACTTCAATTGGAAACTGGAACCAGTGATAGGAATAAATCTTTTCCTAATTTGTTTCATTGAATGTGAAATTAGTTTGGAAAATAATTGTTCCGAGTGAGACCAAATTAGTCATCAACAAGTCAAATGTCAAAAACCAAGTAGACCTTGAAAATTGGGTAATTGCTGTCAATTGCTCTTGGTGTCACTATTGTAAGTGAAATAATTGAATCAGGATTACAAGAGAAACCAACGATACATTTCAATCAGTCTTTCATGTTGATATAATCATTTTCTTTCGCCAGCCAAATCTTTACAATGAATAATCGTTCGGATATTACTGCAATCAACCAAATTGTTATTTCCAATCCACAAGATCATAGTTGTTTCCCAGCAATCAAATGTTGCTCAAGCTAGTCAATGGTTGAGGCCCAAAATAGTAGCATTCCTGGTTAACCATCATATATTGAACTGGAGAAAGCTTTATTCTTATAATCATTTGTATCATTTCTCGTCATCACAATGTCAATCCAATTGATAATTGATAATTAACAGTTGATTTATCTGCAAAATAAACAAGAAGAGTACATATTTGAACATTATTTACCAACGATTAACGGTTATGCATCAGTTTTACTTTTCTTCAAACACATATGCAATTTAAGGTCAAAGTTGAAATAATTAGAAATCAAAATAAGGAGAGAAAACTTTACCAAAATGCTGATAATAATAGTAATAATAATGGTAATTATTTGATTATTATCAGTATCAACCTTTTAACACTCATTTACTTTGCTACTTCATCTCCACAAATGTTAATAATGTAATTAATTAACTACTTTTATGATAATGATAGTTGAAATAGCAATAAATTGTGTTATTATAGAAACCCAGATAAGTTATAAAATATATTCAATTGTAGACAATTTTCAAACGTGATTAGCTCAATGGTCAGTTAATGGTAAGAGGTTTCTTATGATTGTGATGTTTCATTAACATTTGTAGTTTGAATAATCAGACAGCTTAAAAAGGTTTGATTTTCAATAAATGCTTTTGTAAAAATATTAAGGTCATACAATTAAAAATTTTGTGAAACCTGATTGTTGTGTTGAGGGCAGTTTTAACATTATTATGTTAGATGATAAGTTTGCTGGTTGATTATCAAAAAATTATTGAGGCCAAACTTTTTTACTGTTTACCCATAAAAGGACCTGTAAAAGGAGATAGTAATAAGATATTAATAAGATGAATTAAGTATTGGACAAGTGGTACTTTTACACTCGCTTACCTGAATGTTACTCGGGTTAACCCGGGTTGAATGTAGTAAATGATAATGAACGCTAATTATCAGCTCATATATGGATTTGATGAGGAACAAAAAAAGAGAATGAAAAAGAGGAGAAAATAAAAGTAAATAAAATTCACGAAAAAAGAGGCTAATTTTTATAATCAAATTAATCCTGCTGGTTATTTCCTGGGTTATGTTGATTTAGAGGTGTTTTAAGTAACCTTCAAATATAGTAAAAAAATGATTAAAAAATGGAGTAAGTAGTAAACTAAGGGAATGGTTAATTAATAACAACAATTTGAATTAACACGTTAAACAATAATAAAAGTCAATCACAAAATTGCTATCTACAGATAGGGAAAAGTTAAATCAATGTTGAAAAAGATAAACAAAGATCAGTGAATCCAAAAAATGGATCAGATAAATTGGATCAAGATCAATTAAACGCATTGTCTTATTTGCTGATTGGTTAATAAGTGAAAAGATAAGTGTTAATTTTAAGAGCAATTTTCAAACAGTCAAATATTAACGGTTTTTTGTTAATTTCAATTGTGACAAATCATAGATCAAAGTGACCAAGATGGATATAAACTGGTTAGATGTAAGTAAATGAGAGATGATAAAATTTTGGTTAATTAATAAAATTCAATGAGATAATGAAAGGTTAATTCTTAACCTTGATTGCTTTTGTTTTAAGTTTTGTATGTTACCATATGAAGGAAAAAGTCGAAGTTGCGATGATGATGATAATGTTGATTGTGAAGAGCGCCCAAAGGTAAATTCAAGATGAAGTCAAGAATGAAAAAAAAGTGTATTCAGAAGATTAAGTATGATGATTTAGCGAAACAGAAAGGGAGACTGGCGAAAGAGGGTGAGCAAGATAAGGGAGCGAGTAGGAAAAAAAAGTTGGTAAGCAACTTGTTGATCATTCTGAATCGTTTCATCCTGGTGCTGTGATTATGTTGATTGTACTGTAATGTTAGTGATTTAGTGATGTTAATAGCTACATGTTTGTGATAAAAAGAAGAGAAAAAACCTTGTCTGTTCAAATCTTCTCTCCATGCTTTTGTTTTTTCTTTTTTCTTCACTCGCTATTTCTCATGTTGTTTATTATTCCATCTTCATGTTCAACTGTTTCTTCTATTTATCACATTAATTATTGATTTCTGGATCTTATTATTACTATCATTATCATCATCAACAAAACAACAATAATAATAATAACAAACAACAACATCTACATCAGGTTTATGCCTTTTTGATTTAAAGTTTAACCATTGTTAACCATTGTATGTTACCACCAGTGTAATAAGCAATTAAATACAACCATCATCAACATCAACAACATTATAATTGTTTAGCCTAGATAAAAATCTTCTACCTAAAGTTAATAATTAAAACCACTTAAATCACTTCAATTCCATCGTTAACTTGATCTACTGTTTTACATTCATTCTCATTGTACTGCAATCTACTTTTTATTGGTATCCACTTCAAACGGACTTGCCAAATTACCTTACCTCAAGAGTAGCGGTTCTGTGCTTGTCTGGGTGTCTTTTTTTCCCTGAGACATTATCAAAAACATCATCATTATTATAATCACTTTAAATCAACATTACTCTAGTCAACGTATTTTTCCCTAAAGGTTTTTTTTAAACTCTGCATCATACGTTACTAAGCTGCTGTTGTAATTTTATGTCTGTTTGAAAAGACATCAAATGACAAAGGCATATTACAACTTGTTTTATCGTTTAATTTGTCACATTATGTTAACTTTTCTTCTTGCACCTGATGTTCATCTGATTGCTGCTCTTTCAAATAGGGATTAATCTGTGTCAATCATTCGTCCCACCTCAATTGTTACTAATGTGCATTCCATGGCCTTTCCATGGTTCACATGGTTAACCTGGATTACAGTGATTATTCAACTTGCTTTTCCTCTTGTTCAATCAACTCAATCTTCTCTGGTTACCGGAGAATGTCTCTATCAAGAATGCGCTGTTAATCCATTAGCAGAGTGTTATTTTTCATCTGATCTCTTAATCGATTGTGAAACTCGTGAAGCTTGTCAACGGGTTATTGTCTACAAAGTTATACCAGAAAGTCCTTTAAAGGAAAACCTGTCCATTACACTGCACAGTTATTCACTGAGACCAAACACTTCCATAGACTTAACTCTAGATGTCTCTTATATGATAGGATCTCATCTTAAATCGGTTGCGCTGCAATCTTTTAAATGTCTATATTCACACGAAAATGGTACCTCTAGTGCCACCATGGTTGGCTACAATGATTCTCAAGTGTTGGGTGAAGTTTTATACACCGGCGAATCAATTCACTGTCAGTGGATAATTTCACCTGAAGGACCATTGTGGCCTATTCAATTGGATGGTCAACCTTTAAACCTTTATAACCATGTATTTGCCTGTAACCGGTTATCTGTTAATTCATCTTTAGTTTATGTTTTTACCCATGCACCTCCGCTCCATCGACTACGGTACATTACCGATACGCTTTATCCAAACAATAGATTACCTTTTAACCCATGTGAACTAAGTCAATCTCCAAAAAAACAATGCTCTGGACAAACCATTATTGTACCAAGGCATGAAGATGAAACCTATCTGGAAGTCTATCTAATAGTTTTCGATCCCATTTCTGGGATTAATTTACAGTTAAAACATTCAGCGGATGAACAAAACATTGGTCTTCTTCGATGTCGCTTTGATTCAACTTTAAATCCTCGATGTGTTGGAGCTTTAAATAATCCTGGTGACTTTGACGATACCGATGTTTCATCATCATTATCCATTGAAGATTATCAACTTGGATCTGTGGAAGCATCTCCGTTATTCAACTCAACTGGACTACGAGCATTTTGGCGAGTCCCAGTCTCTTTTGCTCAGTTATGGAATTCTCAAGGCTCAGATGGCGTTGACTTTCTCTTGGATCTCACTATCACAATGGAATCTGGAGAAGTGCACAGTACACGTGGGACAATAAAGGTTAACTTATCCGCTGATTATCCGAGTCCCTTAGATTACAGGAAGTGTTTAAATTCAGATTCATCATCGACATCGTCACTATTCTTATCACATTCTAACTCATTGATTTGGTTCTTTTCAATGATGGTTCTGGCCCAGTTACTCCATTGATGAGGATAAAAGAACGAAGGAAATGAAGAGAATACTTATTTGTTGAGAGAGGGTGCAAAGAAATTACTCTTTGGTGATGAGATGATTTTGGTTGATTATTGCTTTTGAAAGGAGAGGAGAAAAAAATGTAAACAGAAGGAAAAAACAAGCAATTAAAGAAGCTTTCCAAGCTTCAAAAAAGGGAAACGAACCAAACAACTCATCCTTTCCTTCTCCTTAACAAAGTTTTTATTTATTTTTCAATGATAATGATGAGATATATCCTTGGTGCTAAGCTCTCAAAGTGACCTTATTTCAATACTTCCATGATCTCATTGTTCAAATTGTGTTTGGTTCTTGGATACAAGCTTTGAGCTGCCAAACTTCAAGGTCTTTCTGGCTACTACCTAATTCTTTTCATCCTTTCACCATTATCATTGTTATTACCATGGCATCTTCCTCTTCAGAAAAGATGTTCAACACTCTGAATTATAAACAAATGACAACTTCCAACAGCTTGGACCAAGTATATAAATGCCATTTTTATTTCTTCGTCCAGTAATAAGTTATCTTCATCTCTTGGTTTTCCCTCAAATTTCCAAAATTCACAACCAGTAATACAAATAATAACGTTCAAGATGATTCTCTACCATTGTTCACCTTTATCATCTTTAGACCATCAACAACACTCTAGTCTCAAGACTTTTTTTTAATAGATATCATCACCATCATCAAAATTCAATGCATTGTCATCATTAACACCATAGTCGTCATCAAATTTAACAAGTTAATGACAACATCGAATGCGTGGAATAAAGCAATTCAACAGGACAATTTGGGGTAAAGATTGCAATGAAGACCTTTATGAGTACAAAAAGGGATCATTTATTGCCGCTGATAATTTAATATTACAAGTTAACGTTTCTTATGAGATTAAATAATGATAACTAGAAAGAAGGAGAAGGAAAAGCATCATCAAGAGTTAAAAGGGAAAACATTGGATGGAAAAAAAGGTTTTGACTGAACCTGGAAAAGGATTTTGATCTCATCAAACAAGTTAACACTTGCATTGGTGACGGTTGAGCAAACTGAACTCCCATTTAATATCCAACGTTTAATCAACAAAACATCAAACTCAAGAGAAAGGGTCAAGTTTGATCATTCCTGTTAATAGCTAACAATTATTTGGCTTCAATTCCATCAGCCACCTGTCAATCTTTCCTCGTTTTTTTCTCTCTCAGTCGATTTCAACTCGGATCACTTATCATTATCATTCTGACATTCGGAATATAATATGAATCAAACAAGTTAATGGTTAATTCAAAAGGTAAACAGCCATTTGGATTGGCAACCGATTAACTTGAAACCGTGAAACTTTAATTGTTATTAATAGTATGACAATCAAGCATCTGAGTCACCCTATCTCTATTTTTGATAACCGTTCATCACAATTCAGCTGATTCATCTTGATCATCATTATCATAATCATCATTGACTACAATAATACCAACAACATCGACAAGTATAAACAAATTGATCCACATTTCTTTGTCTTCTCTATTCCTAAATCAAAGTAACTAGCTAAACATTACACATTAATATTAATGATAATGATAATGTTTGTTAATTGTTCATCATTATACTCGTTACAAGAAGATGATTTTTATGTTTATCAAGCTTTATTGAAAAACGTTATGCTTTTACCAGGAAATTTTCAACTACAATATTTTTTACTGATTACCCTGTCCTTACCAGTTTTATGAAATTAACTTGTTGATTGTGAATGTAAAACTGATTGTTTTTTTTGATTGTAAGTCTCATAACTGACGATCACCTTTGCCTTACTTGAATTACATGAAAAAGAGTTATATTTTATACCAAAAGAAATAAATTATGTATAATCTTTATAAATGCTATTAATATTAATATCTTATAAATAGATTCAATTATATTCTTATAAAGCGTAAAAAGCATGATGAAAAAGATTAATTCACTTGTTAAATTTAAATCAATCAAAAAAGAAAAATTAAATTTGTCTTTAAAAATGAATTGTGATCAAATTGATTGGATTTTAAAAAGACTGCAGAACAATTGAATCAATTTCTCACATTTTTAAGCTTATTTATTGTTTAAGTTTGTTTGATCTATTAATTTTGATCACAAATTAAATGTTCATTGTCTCTTTAACGAGTAAATCGGAAATTATAATGATGTCAACAATCATGGAAATAATGTTAATTACTGTAAGCTAATTGTTTCCCTTTTAGCGTTAATCATTATCAGATTTGAACTTTTTGTTTCCTTTTCTCATCGTTTTGTTTCTAGTTTAGGGTTAACCACTCAGTTGGGCTTAAATAAATACTAATTAATGTGGTTAAACAATTTAATGTTTACAATGGTAAAACATAACAATTAAAAGCATATTTTAATCTGTTTCATCTATTTCTAACCAGGAAAACGATAGGAAGTTGATTAAAAAGCTGGTTCCTTCATAGTATCAGAGTTTATTTACTTTAGATAACAAACCAATTATTATTAAAAAAACAAGATAATTACATTTTAAATTTGGCTCCAAAACTGAGGTTCACCTCTTGATTTAGGCCTTTAACAGTTTGTGTAACTGCCTTTGATTAAAAACACTTGTTAGATCTGAATGTTTATGATTAACTCATGTTGATTAATTAATCTACAAAAAGGTGTTTCTATTCAACTTGTGTTTAACATTGACAGCTCTTGTCCATCAGCATGTTGGATTTTTCTTTTCATGATGCATTGCATTATTATACATTTTGCTTTCAATTTTCAAGATTGAAAAGCAGTGATTATCATTAAGACCATTATCAAGGTAATCATTAACATCTTTGGTTTACAATTGTGATAATTGAATTGTTTGTGCCTTCAGTTTACAGCAAAAGGAAATGAATCTCATTAGAAAATCTTTTCCACTTGGAAGACCACACTGGCCAATAGTTGTATTGATGATTTGAATGAATTGATAAACATGATTTAAGTAGCTATTCATTCATTGTAATTTGTTTTGTATTTCATGAAACAATCAAAGGTTACGTCATTTATCAATAAGGAGATAAATTAACTTAACTTTTGGTCTTGAACCTTGAAATTGTTTGAAAGGTTTGGAAAAATTGAAAACAAAAAGTCAATATCACTTGTTACATCAAAATATACTTTAATTTGAATGGTTTCAATCAATTGCCATTAAATTGTGTCCTTTGTTCCGTGGAAAATAAACTTTAAAATTGATAAGTTAATTTCTTAATTTTATCCGCCAATAAAGCATGGGTTCATTCGATAACTCAGGAAAAATCCTCTCTTAACTTCTTTCCCGTCACTAACAAACCTCGCAAAGATGGGGCCAGTGCTATTATCTGTTAGATAAAATGAAAAGAAAATATTATTTAGTCCTTTAAAGTTTCAAGGTAAGACTGGATAAAAGTTGAGAATTGTGAATGTCCATGCAGATATGATCGAAGAACTATTCAACAAATTATGGAAACTTGTAAGCAACAAGTAACAGTAAGTAAGCAGCTTAATACCGATTAAATTTTGTACCAATCAATTGATAAATTATGTTTACTAACCTGTTACTTCAGTATCCCCGGAGGGATTATTAGAGAAAACATTAGCATTAAGTCTTCCACCACAAAATCTTATACCACCAAGCATTAAATAATCCGAGGGACATTTAACAATACCGGCTCCAGGAGCTTCAGATGTTTTAGATTCTGGTTGAATTTCAAAGTAACGGAAGACAGAGCCAGGCCTTTGAGGCTTGGTGATCTCTGGTTCTTCATCTGGATCACGTTCAGAAGGAACGGAATAAGTCATTGTACAAAATCCTGGTTCTTTGCGAAAACAAATAGTATAATCCAGATTATTGAAATAAGTGTTTCCATCATTATAAAGGTCAAAATTTAACGACATTATACGACCAACAACATCATAATGATACTGTAAACAATGAGCAGGGGCTAAAATACAGGCGAAAAAATTTGATAAATGAAATTAGCATAAACATAAAACGAATCAAATTTAATGGTTTACCGAATGTAAAATGTGAAAGCTGTTAAAGCAAATTATTCACTGAATGTGTGTTTAATGTAAGGTTAGATTTTACTTAAGGCAAGAAAAGGGCCAATTTCAAGATTATTACACAATTTATATTTAGTGTTGATTTGTTTCAACGAACCATTAAATCAATAATAAATGTTTACAATATAAAATAACTAACCTCTATACGGAGAGTGACATTGTATTTGGGTAACTCTGACATCAAATTGTCTACTCCGGTGGCCAGTTGTAATGAAATTTAAACTCACAGGCCCCGAAGTACCAGCAACATCAATATATACTAAACGAAAGGGCAAGAAATATTTATAATAATCATTAGACGAATATAATTAAACAGATAAGTTATTAATCAATATTAAAAACGAAAAGTTGACTTACTATGTTGGCCAGAGTTAACCCCACACATTGGAGGAATAACATCATTTTGGATTTGTCCGTTAACAACAAATCTATCCTTATCGCATTCACCTTGCGTTGGTTGGGCTAAACTGAAGATTAAAAAGTCTAACCTAAGTTGACAGATATCTGGTTTAAGGTTACTAATCTGGGCTGAACAAGGCCTCGAATCAGTATAAGGCGATGGAGCATTTGGATTGCGAAAATAAGTACCATTGTAAAGGATTGATCCACCACATGTTACTTGAACTTTGATGTCACAGTAAAAAGGCAGAGAAAAAAGTGGGAAATTGAAACAAAAGCATATTAAGGAAAATTGGTTTGGTTATAAAAGGGTGTTTATTAAAACTGAATAATTATTACAATCATGTAAATATACTAATTAACACGTGCCAAGTCTCATGTGAATTTCACACGCATAATAATTAAAATAAATGATCATCACAGTGTTTTGAACTTAATAAACTTTCCCTCGATGTTTCTCAATGTTTTTGTTTTTTAATCGTTGTAGAGGTAAAAATGGTGACTGGGAATTGAACAAGAAATTGTTTTGATGAGATCGACATTGTTGTAGTTAAAATGAGTTATAATTTTTGGCTAAAAAGATAATTTGTAAATTGCAAACCAACAATAAACCCAATCAAGCTAACTGGAAAATAATTTCAACTCATTTCACCCTTTTTGTGGACTGGACTCTCTACCTTTTCAATCAACTGCTACTGTTCAAGTGTAAATTGATTTTTCCGTTTTACCCTCATCATGATTTGTTGTTAAGTTCAATTTTTTTATTTGTTTCCAGCCTTTACATTTAATCAGTTTGCCAGTTTCACCTTTTTTTTCATCATACTTTGATTTATTATGGTAACCGTTAAAAACAGTAGTCGAGATTGAAATGGCTTAAAAGAGAAGAGATAAATCATTTTCTCTTCTTTTGTTCATCTTTCAAGCTATTCTCATCATCAACATCATCATGTATATTTTAAAGGTAACTTTAAAATCTCTCTATAACCATTGATTAAAAAGGTTACCTTAAATGTACATTTGAAAGCAAAGAGTCAAGTGAAGTGGGGTCAACGTGAATAACAATGTGAACAATGCGAAAACAACAACGTGTCAATCATTCATTTTCTGTATTAACTAACCATAATAATGAGGCAAAAGTTGATTTAATCATGTTCATCTAATGTAATAGTTTAGCTGTTTAATTTTTGGTTCATAAGCAAAAGCAAATGATTGGAATGAAATAAGATATTTGATTCATCATCACTAATCACAACAACAACAACAACAAACAATAACAAAAAGATTGGCTATCAAGTTGAGTTGGGACAGATTTTAAAAAAGGTGTATCCAGGTCGATTGGTTACCGGTTAATAAGTCTTAGATGTATTCGTGATCAACAACGCTGATAATGTTGATGTTTTTTTCATGAAATAGAGATGATTTTTGAAAAGCTTTAGTGAGTGATTATTAAAGACGATGAAAACAGATCAACAAAAATGATGAATGTGAGTTAATAAAGTTACACGATGAAAAAAAGTGGTTATTTTGAATGAGTATTAGTGGTAAAAGCAATCGTTTTTCAACCAAATTCAACAAGTTTAACTTGAAATTGTTTACGTGAATTTAAAGATAACCTGATACAGATTAGTATATTATTAATAATACGTGGACTACTTTTTTTGGCCTTTATAAAGCCTATCTATTGACAGTCTATCTACTGAACAAATCATCAACATCATTATTGATATCTGCTGAATCGTGTAACAATTAATTGAAATTCACAAAAAAACTGTCTTTGATAGGTTTGGTTAAAGAATGATTAAAGATGTGATTTAACGATAGTCACGATAGTCATCATTGAGTATTAATATTACTCTGAATTAATTTAACTTGAGTGATTGAAAGTAAAGAAGAGATTGAGAGGTTCTTTTCACAATATTCACAGTCATTAACATGATGAAGATGCATTATTTTTGTGTATAATTAAGATGTTTCTTGAGCTTGATTGAGACTAGATAAATCACTAACCCCGAGAGGAAAAATTGGATCAATTTGGATTAAGAAAATTGTATTTTGTTTTTTGGTTTACCTGAGTTTATTATGAGACTTGGCTACAGACAAAAATTTTATGTTGATTTTGATTTTGTCACGATGAAATCAATTAGAATTAGAATTGGTATTAGTATGATGAAGGATGACAAACTCACGGAAACAACAAACACCAACGGGAATACCAGGATTGTAGCCTGAACCAAAACCTATTCCACTATTGTCGGGTCTTTGGTTACCGCCAGAGCCACTGATTGGTGTAGCATAACAATTTCCTAATGCTCGACCACCTCGGCGTCGACATTCAAATGAATTTGGTACACAAATACCAGTTCGATTGCCATCGCCAGTTGGACAGTCAGAGACGGAGTTTGGAAAGAATGGATAAGCCGGGTTCCTCATGTTGTGAGCGCCAAGACCAAAGGGTAAAGGAAAAGGTAATGATAGGCCATTTCCACCACCGCCACCGACACCACCACCGACTCCTGGACCACCAAAAAGATTCCAAAGAGCTTTAGAAATTTAGAATAATCAAATAACCCAAAGTGTTTCAGAGAAATGGTCAACAATTAGAAAATTACTTGGTAATTTTGAAATTGATAAGCAAATTAATAATTTGAATTCAACATACTTCTTTTTCCTCGATCACTGGAATTGCCAATATACACAATCATACACAATACAAGAGTAACAATTTGAATTTTGGAGAGTCGAGAAAGCATTGCTTGGTTGATAAAGAGATAGATTTATTGGACAGAGAAGTTAAATCAGGGATGATGGCAAGACAGATGGAGATGAAATGTGATTTACAAATTAAAATGGTATTTCTTCTCGTCAAAATAGTAATTAACAAATATGAGAGGACAATTGAAATTTGAAAACCCATTTTTACATCAGTTTTTACAAATGAACATGAATAGTGGTGTCAAGGTATAAAGAAGTGAATGGTGAAAGATGTGAAATGAGCCATAACATGATTAATTTCCGTTGAGCTTATGAATTTGAAGATGATGATGTTGATGATGATGACAAAGGTGACATAATAGCTAACAGTTTGGGTTAAGAGTAAGATATCTATGAATACACCCATTTTTGATTTGTTGATGTATTTAAATAAGTAGTCGATTAAATAAACAATAATTTTCCATTCAACAGTAAAAAAAGGTCACTTCCTAGAAATGTAATCATGGATGATTCCCGTCAAATAGATAATAGCCGGATGAGTCAATATTCATAGAATGGATTGGTAATGATAAAGTATTCAATTGATTGAATAGGCAAACAAATTCAACTTGTTTAGTGTTGAAATTGAGTATTATGGTAATAACTATCATTTTATTTGTTTGGCAATATATGCACGGATTGTGTCATTCTTCAGTGTCCTTCAATAAACTGGTCCTTCATCCAAATTGTCATCAGAGTTGTCTTCAAGGAAACCTTCACCATTATCGAAGTAATTTCGAGCATAATCAGTGTCCTGTAATAGATGAATATTTAAAAAACATTTAGTGGTTGAAATTTATCAAATTAGTTGAGTTCAAATTTAATGTTACTTACTTCTTCGATTTCTTCTTCATCTTTTTCACCCTCGTCTGAATCGATTTCACCTTCTGGTTCACTTTCATCCTTTTCAGATTTCGGACTTTTTTCTCCCGTCTCTTCCAACTCTTCCATCTTTTTCAACAACTGATCTACATCATCAGGTCCCAGTGTTTTCACCGATTTAGTTTTTCTAATCTTTTTAGTTGGCTTGAGTTCCTCTGGAAACAATCTCCAATCTGCAAAACAAAGGTGTAACATTTTATAAATACTACTTCCATAATTTAGTGTGTGCAAAGATTGTGAAAAAAATTGTATTCATCTTACCCAGAGAATCTAAGTCTGAACTTGTTGTCAGAGTGTTGGCAGCATCAAATTTGTCCGAGTATCTTTGAACCGTTGTTTTAACTTTAGGAGGAACTACGAAGTATTTTGATGATCTAAATGATGAAATCAACGACTGTTTTACATCATGCAAATAGTTATAATTATCATTATCACCAGGAATGATAGGCTCTGGCTTAACAGGCAAACTTGGATATAAAGGTGGAGGAGCGAGACTTGGAGCCGGTAATTGCTCTCCTTTACCAATACCTATGGATTCTAGGTTAAATGTAAAGCCTCGACCTCCTCTGCCACGGCCACGGGACATTATCTAATCAAAAAAAGTTCACATCAAAGTAAAAATAAAAAAATCAGGGAATAAGTCTAGGAGACTCTTTACTAAAAAAACCAAATATGATGTAAACAGACAAAACGAGGGCTTCATATGAAAAACATGTGTCTAAATGGGTTTTAACAAATGTTTATGTTGAAAGAAATATCGATTAATCGAACACTTAAATTTTACTACAGTGGAGTACCAGATAGTGTCAGTACCAGATAATGTCAGTAGATTATTCAATAGCCCCTCAAACCCTTTGTTTACATTCCCTATAAGGAAAGTTTTAATTGAAATTATAAAGAAATTATCAAAAAAGTTGAATATTTCTGAAAATTCAACTCAACTAACGATCCTCAGCACAATGACATTAATTTGTTAGACTTTTCCAGCAACTAACTTTAATTTTATTATTCATTGTAATTAATTTTAAAATTTAGCTCGATTAATAGACTTGCTGTGCATATAAGCTATTTCCAGTTACTGACAGTATCTGGTACTCCACTGTATCGTAAACAATCACATTAAATACACGATGAATAAGCAATCAAAATGCCTTTAAATGACTGCTTGGTTTATTCAGCATCGCATATTAATTTGTATTTATTTAATCAATATCATTAAAATTGTTTCGTGATTAGTTTCTGAAGGAAATTACCAAGACCGCATCTTGGTTACCATCTCGCGCTAATTTCAATTGCGGCTAAGCGTATTACTCTTGATGGAATAGATTATTTCATTGATTGTATTGAATAACAATTAAAATTCATTGATTTGTTAACGGTTTAACCTTTTATAGCCAATGCCAATAGTCAACAATTTATCTGAAAAGTTCAACTGAGATATTTAAACAGATTGTTGGGTTAACCGATTGCCTAGAAAATTCAAGAATTTTCTCAAGCAATCAAGAATTTAACAATCATTGACTCTTTTCAATCAACACCTAATCAAAGTCTAATCTGGAATGAACGACAATACTTGGCAATGAAACAATATCACATTTCTCGATTCCTCTTGAACATTCAGATTTCGATTGTTTTTATCATAACATGTAAATTGCAATCAATATTAAAGGATTTTTAAAAAAGCGTAACTGAACATCATATTTGTAACAGATGCAGCAACTTGAATGATCAATGAATGGATCAACTAAGAATAATCAAACAAAAACATTACTGAAGTGAAAGTTGAGTTTGAAATTGCATTAAATGATAACTATTTGGCTTGAATTAGATACATAAGGATATGAATAGATGAAAAGTACACACAAAAAGCCAACTGCCTTATGGAGCGACAATAATTTTTGGATCATTTCAAAATCGATCTCAAATTAGCTTCAAATCTTCGATCAACCGGGCACTGACTCGATAAAAAAAACTGTCAACTAAAAAAATGTCGATAAAAAACGCAAATAATGATGATTAGACGCCAAAAACAGTTGTCAGCTCAAACAAACAATTCTCATCCAAAAAACGAAAACATCACATCGAGTGTTAAAGTTTGGTTAATTTATTTATAAATATTGAAAGCCTTGATTGTTCTAAGCAAATTGAATGTTTTTAAACCCGCAATTTTAAATCAACGTCAGCATAGCGATGAAAACAAAGGTAAACAGATGATGAAATTGAATTGATAGTTTACTTGATTACATTAATTTGACATGAAAATGAGGTCTGAATAAATGGATAGATGTCACTACTTCTTCTCAAGGTGCAAGTATTGGGGAAAAAAGTGTTTTTTCCCTTCTAACCAGCCAATCAGAAGGAGACACATTGGATTGGTTAAAGAGCCAATAGGAATGAGCCACGACTGAATGTGTTGAATCTTATTGTCTAGAGTTTACCGAGTAAGTTATCATTTGATGAATTTCAACGAATCTATTTTATACTGTGTTTAGTAAATTGAAATTGTCAACTCATTTTTTATTATAATTACAATTGAACGTATACAACTGTGTTTAATTTGATTGTGATTGTCTTTTCTCTTAAATCAATTTTTTGATTCTTTTTATTTATAATTGTCACAATCCACAAGGTATTATATCTTTTTATTTAGTATTTCTATGTGTTTTACTCTTGTCCCTTTAAATTTTACTCATATTATCTTTCCAAATCTTTCTAGATGTTTCACTATAAATCTGGTTCAATGAGGGTTATGCCCCTCTTTTTAATTTTTGGTCTTTTGGTTACTTTCGAATCGATTAGTGCAAAAGAAAAGGATGCAAAGGATGCCAAAGACAGTGTTGGTACAGTTATTGGTATCGATTTGGGTACCACTTATTCCTGTGTAGGTGTTTTCAAAAATGGTCGCGTCGAAATTATTGCCAATGACCAAGGTAACCGTATCACTCCCAGTTATGTAGCATTTACACCAGAAGGTGAAAGATTAATTGGTGATGCTGCCAAAAATCAGTTGACTTCTAACCCTGAAAACACCGTTTTCGATGCCAAGCGTCTTATCGGTCGTGAATGGAGTGACCCCACAGTTCAATCTGATATCAAACATTTTCCATTCAAAGGTAAGACTATTTACTCTATTTATTACTTTTATGTTACTTATTCTTATGGATGAGTTTAATTGTTGTAATTTCATAAGATGCATTTTTGCCCCAAGTCATAATTTGAGTATGGGTGTAGTTGACGGGTAAAATTTACGTTTGACTAATCATTCTTATCCAATTATTTCTCTTTTTCCGTAGTCTTGGATAAAAACAGCAAGCCTCACATTCAGGTAAAAACCGGTCAAGGCGATAAAACCTTCGCTCCAGAAGAGATTAGTGCAATGGTTTTGATCAAGATGAAAGAGACAGCTGAAGCATATCTTGGTAAAAAAGTTACTCATGCTGTCGTCACCGTTCCAGCTTATTTCAATGATGCTCAGCGTCAAGCTACCAAAGATGCCGGTACCATTGCTGGTCTAAACGTTATGCGTATTATCAATGAACCTACAGCTGCTGCCATTGCTTACGGTCTTGACAAGAAAGAGAGTGAGAAGAACATTTTGGTCTTCGATCTTGGAGGAGGTACTTTCGATGTCTCATTACTTACCATCGATCAAGGAGTTTTCGAAGTCGTTGCTACTAATGGTGACACTCATCTTGGTGGTGAAGATTTCGATCAAAGAGTTATGGATCACTTCATTAAATTATACAAAAAGAAGACCGGCAAAGATATCCGAAGTGATAACCGAGCTGTTCAAAAACTCAGGCGAGAGGTTGAAAAAGCTAAGCGAACTCTTTCATCTGCTCATCAAGCAAGAATTGAAATTGAATCATTCTTTGAGGGCGAAGATTTCAGCGAAGTTTTGACTCGAGCTAAATTCGAAGAATTGAATATGGACTTATTCAAATCTACTCTTAAACCAGTCCAAAAAGTATTAGATGATTCCGATTTACAAAAGAAAGATATTGATGAAATTGTTCTTGTCGGTGGTTCAACCCGTATTCCTAAAATCCAGCAACTTGTTAAAGAATTCTTCAATGGAAAGGAGCCTACTCGGGGCATTAACCCTGATGAAGCTGTTGCCTACGGTGCTGCCGTTCAAGCTGGAGTCTTATCCGGTGAAGAAGATACCGGTGATCTTGTTTTACTTGATGTTAATCCTCTTACTATGGGTATTGAAACTGTTGGTGGTGTCATGACCAAATTGATTCCTCGTAATACTGTTATCCCCACCAAAAAATCTCAAATTTTCTCTACTGCCTCCGATAATCAAAACACTGTTACCATCCAAGTTTATGAAGGTGAACGACCTTTAACCAAAGATAACCATCTTCTTGGTAAATTTGATTTAACTGGTATCCCTCCAGCTCCTCGAGGAATCCCTCAAATCGAAGTTACTTTTGAAATTGATGTAAACGGTATCCTTAAAGTATCTGCTGAAGACAAAGGTACTGGTAACAAGGAAAAGATTACCATTACAAATGATCACAATCGATTATCTCCTGATGATATTGAGAAAATGATTAAGGATGCAGAAAAGTTCGCAGATGAAGATAAACGTATTAAGGAAAAAGTTGAGGCCAAAAATGAACTCGAGTCTTATGCATACTCACTCAAAAATCAAATCGGAGACAAGGAAAAGCTTGGTGCTAAGCTTACTGATGATGATAAAACCAAGATTGAAGAATCTCTTGATGCCGCTATTAAGTGGCTTGATGCTAATGGTGAATCAGCCGATACATCAGAACTTAAAGCTAAAAAGAAGGAATTAGAAGATTCTGTTCAACCTATTATTGCTAAACTTTATGCTAGTGGTGCAGGACCAACTCCCGGTGGCGGACCCGAAGCCGACAGTAAAGATGAATTATAGGAAGAAAAACTTAATTTATACTAGTAAAATGATTATTTTGTAAATATTGAAACAAAAAAAATCCACTTTTGATTTACATTTAAATTTAAATTGTCTCCATCATTTCTCCTTTTTCTCATTTTTATTTAAATATAAATTTTGTTTTAGTTAAAAACTAAATTTTTACTGTTTCCGGTTATTTAACAATATATTCTCGGTATGAAAGCCATTTTATCTCATAAAAATTCATCGCGTTACGTCTTTTTGTTTAAACAGTATTCAGTTGAATGAATTTTCTGTTAAACTGCCAACATGGATAAGGCGGAGTTAACAGAAGTGACACATCGCATTGTGCATCAGCTGATTAGAAGGTTGAGTTTTACCTTGTGTGGTATGTTAGACTTAACAGTCTAGTTATTTTCACCATTAAAATAGATTATAATACAATTCAAGTTCGATGATTGATCTGGTCAGTTTATTTAGTGTTCTTGGATCTTTAATAACACTTGCTTTTGTGATTCTAATCATATGGAGAGGTCGAAGAACTAGTTATGCCAGTGTAGAAGACTTGGATGAAGATGAAGAAAGTAAACGTCGACCTGTTCGTGGTGTTCCTGTTCCAAGGCCTGGATCAAGTGGTGATGCACCCTTTCGTAAAGTAAGGAATCGTCGCCCTGTTCGTGGTGGAGGTCGATCAGAAAGATCTGGCCCTGCTGATGATGACCAGTTTGATCAACCTCCGGAGTTTGTTAACCGAGCAGGCGATGAAGAAGATGATGATGATGAAGATAGTTGTGATGGAAACGATGGAGACATGGATAGAGAGCCTAATGTTCCTGAAGGTAAAATTGGTGCTAAAAAGAGACGAAAGTTGGAGATGAAAGCAGAGAAAAAAATGGCCCGTGAACGCGAACTACAAGAGAGGGAAGAACGTAAACAAAGACAAGCAATGTTGGATGAAGAGAGAAGGAAAAAGGAGGAAGCCGAGAAGGAAGAAGAAAAGAAACGAGAAGAAGAGGAAAGAAAAATTCGAGAAGAAAAAGAAAGACAAGAACATGAAGAATATCTAAAGATGAAGCAAGCATTCGAAATTGAAGAAGAGGGATTCGATTTGGATACAGATGAAACCGAGCAATCGAATAAATTAGCTGCTTTCATCCAGTTCATCAAAGATGAGAAAGTTGTTTTATTGGAAGATCTTGCTGGTACTTTTCAGATGAAAACACAAGATGCCATAAATCGCTTAAATTTACTTTTAGAGGACCAACAATTGACTGGAGTTATCGATGATAGAGGAAAATTCATCTATATTACTCAAGATGAGTTAGGAAATATAGCCAAATTCATTCGTCGTAGAGGTCGAGTGGCTATAAGTGAACTAGTGGAAAATAGTAATCAACTTATTAAAATGAAAGCCTGAAATGTCAAGTTGATTTTTTTAATTTTAATGAAAAATATTTGTTGATCCATTTTTCCGTATATCAATCAAAATTTCATACATTTGAAAATTAAAATACTAATGTATAACGTATAAATTGTATAATTTAACACTGAATTTCATAAAATTAAAATATTTTTGTACATCTAATGAAAAACATTGTCTACAATCTTATCAACTTAAAGCTGAATTTAACTCTCAAATAGACTGCAAATTCAGTATTGGTTAAAAATAAAAAATTAAAATCAGTCCTTATTCCAAATCACTGTGGAAAGTAATTGATCTACCAATCGATTACTTGATAAGATTTACATTGACCGATCAATGATCACAATTATGACTCAAAAAATAATAGCTTTCTTCTTTTAAATGTGTTGAAAATGCATTGCAAAACAAAGAGTTAAGTTAGATAACCTATTGTCCAATCAGAACCCTTTTCTCTCATTTAAGCTTTAACGATTTTTTGTCAACTTTGTTATTTAAACAAATGAAGCTGTCAGAAGATCATCTATTCCTCTTTTAATCCCAAGTGTTAATACGTTTTAATTTGCCTTTTATAGCTTCTTGTTTAATTTTTTTCTTATTGTTTAACAAAATTAATTACGAAAAAGTGATAATGATGACCGAGGAACCAGTCCACACTTCAATTCAACAAAACCTACCAACAACTGAGAAATTTTTGGATCTCAATGACAAGAAATTTAAAGGACCCAGAAAAACTCTCCGAAAGAAAAGGTATAGCCGAGATAATGAATTTATTGATTTTAATCAACCTAAATTGGTGAACGATGATCGAGTCTTTTACCGCTCAGCTCAAGAGAAATCACCACCACCATTGCAGATGCAATTCCAATTTCAAATACCACAACAGCAACACCAGACATTCCAGCAACTTCAATTACAACAGTTTCACTATCAATCACAACAGTTACAGTCACAACCTCAATCACCTCAAATTACTCCACCGTTATCGACCTCACACCCATTATCATCATATCGGACCCCAAGTTCATCCAATCCTCCCACAAATGGGAACCAATTCATGATGGGACAGTAAGTGATGCAATTTATGTGCGATTTACGCGATATAATTTTAGCTTAGTCTTTAATCTATTCATTAGTTGTCATTGACTTTAACCTTGTTTTTCACATTTTTTATTTAGACAACAGTTTCCATTTCCCATGCCTATGCCAATGCAGATGCCAATGCCTATACCGATGACAATGCCCATGCCAATGAATTTCAATGGAATCCAAATGCCGTTACAAGTTCCTTTGCATATGGCGATGTCTATGCCTGCTCAAATGCCCATGCAGATGCCAAATATCCCCCTGCCAATATTTATACGGTTGCCCATCCCGTTAACAAATGAGTATATGAACTACTTTAATGAAAGTTTTAAGCAAATGGGTGAGATTAATGGTTCCTCGGAAATTGCTGATCAGATGGCTGATGTTGGACCATCCTGCATGCCCAATTACATGCCTCAAATGTTTCCACCTCAATTAGGACCCTTTTTATTCGGTTTACCTCAATCTATGATGTATCCAAGACCTGATTTAGAATCGCCATTTCATGTTGCACAGCCTTTAGCCAAGTGAAACTGAATATTATGAAAACACCTGTTCGAATTAACGTTAAGCTAAGATTTGGTGGTTCATCTATCCGTAAGTTGTTCAAAAAGAGTTTCCGTTAAGATGAATCTACACCAACTTGGGAAAATTAATCGAGGCTATTTATTTTAAAAGAGAAAATTTACTCAAACCAGCAGTCAGACAACAAAGACTAATTTTGTAACCAGAAGATTTGAGTCATTTTTCTCTCAAATCTTCTTAATTGGTCTTTCACAGTTAAGCATTTTTTTCTTTGTAAATTTATATTTGTAATTAGAAGTTTAAAGCAATTACTAATATTTAAATCAAAACTTTGAGAACTGAATGTTCAATGAAAAGAACTTATAAATCAGTATACGAAAAGCACCGATTATTTTTACAGTTCATTTTAAGTCACATAAATTATTTATACATGTACACACTTCTTCTGTTTATTTGCATCTCAAAGACATTTCATTCCTCATTAACCTGGTTATTTCGACTTAACTCTTTGGTCCAAACTTCAAAGTCATGATTTCAACGGCCAATTTAAGAAAGATGCTCTGAGCTTATCTGTATTTACATGAAATCTTTAATTTGAATTACTAGAGAAGCAAAAATACAAGCGACTTTTATCTTTTACTGAAGAAAAACAAAACAAGAATAAAAAATAAATTATTTATCAAATTTAATCGTCAGAAACACAAACTTGATTCCATTATGATTTGATGAAAGGTTAAAATGTATTATGTTAAATTGATTGAGTTATACAATGGTAGTAGATTAATATGGGGAGAACAAGATTAACGATATCTGTGTATAAGGCAAATTACAAGGCAAGAAAAATAAAGTATTAGATTAAAGTTAGCTAATATTCGAGTGTATCGTTGATGACTTCGATTCTGGATTCACTTCCATCATCGGTATTATCTTTATTCAAAGCTTTGTTATATAAGCTGCTTTTATCATTTGGTTTAATTTGGGATGAATTTGGAGACATAGATCGTGCATCTTCCAATTCATCATCTTCAGCCAAAGTATCGAAAACACAGCTCATAAGAAATTTATCATCTTCATCAGATTCTAAAACAATATTGGAATCATCACCATCTTCCTTGGAAGGTTCATCTTCATCATCATTCTGATCTTTAGAATAGGAAGATTGAATTTTTGATATAACTTCTGTTGCTTCACCATCACTTTCAGCTACTTTTTCTAGCTGAGAGATGCGTGTTGAAGCTTTAATATGATCATAACGAGTGAAATCGCCCTCTTCTTGTGATTGAATCGGGTCTTCTGAAAATTCTTTAACGATTTGGCTGATACTAGCAACTTCATGAGAAACTTCAATGTCACCTAATCCATCATGATGTTCTTTTGATACTCCATTGACATTTGGCTCATCTTCATCGGGTCCTATTGTATCAGCATTTTCAAGACTCTGATCTTTGCGAGAAGCTGGTTGTTCATTATTATCACAGATAATATCCGTTTGAATACCATTTTCTTGCATCACTACATTTATCGTATTTATTCCATTTTCTTTGAAAATGGGTTTCTCCTTGATTGGTTCAGAGTCAGTTTGAATCAACTTTTCCACCATAATAGCCACATGAGATTGATCGGGCTGATGGCCATTCTTGAGGTCGTTATCGGTAGGTTTACTCAAATTAATTTCAAAACGTCCAATACCTTCAATGGAAATAGATCCTTGGATACCATGTTGAGTGCAGAGACAATTGAATAGATTAGATAGAGTGGAATAAAGATCACTATTGTTTGTCCCATCAGTTTGCTGAGATTGATTTCTTTTATCATTTACCATGAGTTCAGTTTGAGCTCCATTATTTTTCTTTAATGACTGTCTAACTCGATCAAATCTGCTATAAGTAGCGCAAGATCTAATTCGGCGATCCTCAGAGTCAGATGAATCACTCATCAATCCTTCCCGTCTGTCTTCGCCTTCAAAACTGAGCTTACGATTTAATGGTTCTCTAGGTCTCTTTGGTGAGGGTGAAGCTTGTTTATCAGATGGCCTTTTATCTGGTTGTAATGTGAATTTATTCAAAAATGAAACAGGGAACGGGCTAAGTTCTCTCTCTTTACCAGAGCCAGATGGAGTTGATGTTTTGGGCAAAACGAAAGGCCTTTTAACAGTTTCAATAGGATCATTTAGAGTTTCAATGGGCCGTTTAGCTCCTTTATTGACTACATCTCTAGCCATCTCTCGTGCCTCAGCTTCTGCTTCTTCAATTGACTTGTCAAGATCAATATCCTCGTGCCTTTCTTGTGGCAACCGCCGTTTACCAAGAGGAGAAGTATCTTTATTGCCATTTGGTTTGTCGGACAAATCACTTCCTTTAATAGAATCAATTAGTTGACTGGCTTTGTTAACTACTTTACCAAAACACACATCTTGAACAAGACGATTACGGTTGACAGCAGCATTACATTTGGGACAGTTACAGATGTCTTCTGCCGGGTCCAGTGCATTGACAATACAATAATAACAAAATCGGTGTCCACACGGATTTCTCATCGGCTTAGTCATGAGATTGTGACTGTAGATAATAAAAAGAAAAGATACAATTTAAATGATTAAACTTATCTAAAACATAATATCAAAATATTATTATCAAAGTCAAAGCCTTTACTCACCAAATAGCACAAGAGACACTTTCCTGGATCCTTTTGAGGATTGATAGCGCAGTTTCATCAGCAGATTGAACCATGATTAAATTAAATTAAATAACAGGAACATATGAGAAACAACTTGAAGCTATTGAATGTACAAGAAAATACAAACTGATTGATGACCAGATTGTGATTACTTTCGAAGTTGAATGCAAAAAAAAATTTTAAGCAAAGTTGTTTTCAGCCAAAGGTGGAGTTTAAATGCTGCAATCTCTGCCAAATGCTGTCGGCCATTTTTAGCGGCAATTTTGAAAAAGTTAGCGATCAATACTTGTCAATTTAAATATCCATTTATGTTTAATTATGCTTTAAATGACAAAACATCTTGGATTAAATAGTAAAAAATTCATGCAATTTTTAATTTGATGTTATTAAGTCATTAATTGATATTTTTGATAAATTTATGCTGGGAGTGGTCTTTGGATCCGGATTAAATATCAGGATCAGATACTTTAATAAGCTGTGAAAAATAAACACAACAGTATAATCTGACAATATGATTTGCTTGCCTTTAAGCTTTTGAAAACTTGTGCTCTAATCTGATTCAATTTTGATTGTTAATTGACAACTCTTGAACTTTTAACTACTATATAATTCTGTGTAACCAACGTACCGCTATTCATTTATTGAAACTGAAAATTACCGCGTCTATCGCTATCATCACTTTCTTCTTGTTCTGCAATCTCATCTTTAGTGTCTTTGAAGAGTTTTCTTTTTAATTCTTGGCTAGACAATTTTTATTCTTGCCTTTTCTGTTTGCTGCTCTTTTTTTATTCTTATTTTATGTTAATTAATTTTCCCACCGCGAAAACGGTGAATCATTATCCATGTTGTATCCTTGTCGTTAAACAACTAAAAAATGAAATATGGTTGAGAAGAGGCCAACTAAAGGTGAACTCTGGTGTGTTCCTCAATTATCTTCTCAAATTGTAGTCAGTATTTTGATGCCTAATGGTTTATTATTTGATATACCTTGTTGTCGAGAAGATAGTTTGGATAAGATTAAGAGAAATGTTTGGAAAGAAGCTGAGAGAGAAGTTCTTTTCCAACTTCTCAGTGATATTACTTGTTACATCTTTATTGGAGTTACCCAAGAGGCTAAAGTAGAAGAGTTTTATGATGAAAATCGTCGTCTCTGTGATCTTGGATTATTCACTGCCCTCCTCAAGCTTATTGAACCTGAAGGTGACAAAGATGAAAAACGTGCCAATGCTGAAATATCACTAGCCATTGGTATTACCATTTCAGAGCTAGATAGGTTCAAAAATGGTGAAACTTTCAATTTTCGCAAAGATATTATCAATTTTTGTAAATCAATTGTTGAAAAACGCGAAGAAATGGACTCAGAAGCCAAACTGTACTATACTCATCCTCCTGAGCTTGACGAGTCATATTTTTCTAACAGTACTAAGGTCAATCAATCAATGTTAACTCTGTGTATCTGGTCCAATGGAGAGGATGGCTGTAAGGAAAGTTTCAAAATCGATATACCTCATGATTGTACAGCTTCAAGTATCATTAGCCAGATTTTAGGCCAGACGACTTGGTTTAGCCCTGTTGACAAAACCGGTGGTTATACTGAATCTGAAGCTCCTCAAGAAAACTCTCTTGTTCTCAAAGTTTGTGGTGTCAATGAATATTTTTTTGGTAACCATCCTATATGTAGATACAAGGTAAATTATTATTTATTCATCAGTTATATCCTTTACATTGCTATAAATATTAAAATTTTATCGTTAACATAAATTAATCATAACTTTTTTTCATATTTTTTATTTTCAGTATATTACCAACTGTCTTTCTCAAAATAGATGTCCAAACTTAATGCTGGTCGATAAGAATCGCGTCACTTCGGAAATTGAAAAGTTTCAATTTTTAATCCCGTCATCTATAAAACGGTCATCATCATTCTCAAAAGTTGATCCTGGTTCCAAGGATTTGAGTCGAGGTCTAGAAACAGGCCAATATTTGCTTCTCTGGAAATTGGATAATTATTTCAAAATCAAGATTCTTTGGGCAACTTACGTTAACGTGAGAGATGTTGAAAAAATATTTGTTAAATGTGGACTTTATCATGGAGCTGAGCTCCTTTGTCCACCAAAAGAAACGTCTCGAGTTGACCCATGGAACCCTAAATGGGACCAGGAGATTGAATTTGACATTTTTGTTTCAGATTTACCTCGAAGTGCGCGACTTTCTATATCAATTTGCTCAGTCACTAATCGTAACAAAAAAGCCGGAGAAATATGTCCACTTGCTTGGGGAAACATTTCTTTGTTTGATTATAAGTCACGGTTACTTGTCGAAAGGAAAATACTTCATCTTTGGCCTGTCCCAAAAGACTTCACTGAACTTCTCAATCCTCTCGGCTACTTAGGATTAAATACAAATAAAGATTCACCCGGCTTGGAAATTGAATTAACATGGTATCAAGCTCCAGTTATTTATCCTCCTGAAACTATAATTGAGTATCATGCCAACTTTTGTCGTGACTTGGATTTTGCTGGTAAAGATATGGGCTGTAATGGACTTGAGCTCAGTCGTTATCAAAAATATAAAACTATCGATGAAAAAGACTTTGAATTGCTTCATGAAGTAATTAAACGTGACCCTTTATCAGAGATGACTATCCAAGAAAAAAATTTAGTCTGGAGAATGAGAGAACATTGTGTTCAAATTCCCGATTCGCTGCCAAAGCTTCTTGACGCTGTTAAGTGGAATTCAAGAGACGATGTTTCCCAGTTGTATAGCTTATTAAAACAATGGCCAGCAATTAAATCAGATACTGCCTTGGAACTTCTAGATTGTAAATACGCTGATATAATGGTCCGTAACTTTGCTGTCAAATGGTTAGATGAAAGTTTGTCTGATGAGTTACTCTCTCAATACTTACTCCAATTGGTTCAAGTTATCAAATTTGAACCATACCTTGACAATGGCCTTTCCCGAATGCTGCTCAAACGATCACTTCTCAATCGACGCATTGGTCACTATTTCTTCTGGCATTTAAAAGCAGAAATGCATGATCCTTCAGTTCAACTTCGATTTTCAATTCTTTTGGAAGCATTTTGTCGCGGTCTTTGTACCAATTCTCTTCAATCAACATTGAAACAAGTTGAAGCCCTTGAAAAGTTGACCATTTTGACGGAAGGACTTAAGCTTAAGAAAGACGATAATAGAGAAAGAATTAAATTTTTCTCGGATCAAATGCGAAAGGAAGATTACATTGAAGCACTACAAAATTTTCCTAGTCCTTTAAATCACACACTAACATTAGGTAGGCTTCGCATTGAAGACTGTCGTATCATGGATTCAGCAAAAAAGCCTCTTTGGCTTGTTTGGTCCAACCCTGACCCTTATGCGGAATTATATACTTCTCACAGTGCCATTATTTTCAAAAGTGGAGATGATCTCCGGCAAGATATGCTTACCCTTCAAGTAATTCGTATATTCGACTTAATTTGGCGTCGCGAGGGTCACGATCTGAAAATGCTGCCCTACACCTGTTTAGCAACAGGTAAACAAGTTGGTATGATTGAAGTAGTTCCTCGTGCCAAAACAGTGATGAATATACAGAGAACTGGTGGACGAATGGCTGCATTTCAAGTTGACTCTACACAACTTCACAAATGGATTAAAGAAAATAATGTCCATAACTATGACCAAGCTGTCGACACTTTCACCAAATCATGTGCAGGCTACTGTGTGGCAACTTTTATTCTTGGAATTGGTGACCGTAATCCAGATAATATAATGATCAACGAAGAAGGTCAAATATTTCATATTGATTTTGGTCATTTTCTTGGTCATTTCAAGAAAAAATTTGGAATCAACAGAGAACGTGTTCCTTTCGTCTTAACAGACGATTTTCTTTGCGTCATTTCAAAAGGTTCTGAAAACCCTAAGAAGAGCAAAGAATTTGAAAAGTAAGTTCTTTTCCAGCCATGAAATTTGAATTCTATCACTCTCATAAATAAATTATAAACTCTTATAGTTGCATTTAGAATCGATTAACTAATGGTTTTTTTTTCAATTTACTCAATAGATTTACCGAGCTTTGTGGATTAGCATATCTTTCACTACGTCGTCATGCTAATTTACTCATCACCTTGTTTACTATGATGCTATCAACAGGAATACCAGAGCTTCAATCAATCGATGATATCGGTTATTTGCGTAAAACCTTACAAGTTGAAAGAAATGAAGAAGATGCTCTCAAGTATTTTAATAATCAATTTTTTGAAGCCCATGGGGGAGCTTGGACTACAAAGATTGATTGGTTTTTCCATAATATTGCCCATTTCAAGAATTAATTATTTCTACTAATTTTCCGTTCGACAAACATTATGAATTATCACAATTTTGCACATTTTTCATGTACATACAAGGCTGGATCCGAAACAATGGTGTTATAATTGGTGAAATTTAAAACTTAAATATTTTTGATAAAATAGACCTAAAATTGAGCTGAAAAAACTGACAACACCATTTATCAAGATTAATCAATCATGCTGATTATATGGATTCACTTATTTCTAAAATCTAATTATTGATGGATTTTTTGCTTTGCGCTTTATCTCTTTCATATTTGGATTTCATTTCGGATTTCGCTATTTGACTCTTCACGAAAACCCGACGCACTTGTAAGCCTACTCAACTCACCAACAGTCTTCAACTATACTACAACTCTGACTAATTATCACTATTAAAACCTGGTATTTGCTCATTATCTTGCGCGGTTCCTGTCCCATCAGATCGCTGGATCAATAGTCCTAACCTGTTTATCTTTGCAGTTGAAGTTGTATTATATCACAGAAGCTTATTTACTGTTCACGGCTGTTGAAAATCAACTTTTTATACCACAAATACTAATATAAGCCAAAAGAAAGAATTTATCTGTTGAAACCCTGTCTTCCACTGAACCTTTTTTCCGAGAAAACAGGCCATCGAATTATTTGCTACTCTCTTTTTTGCACTGCTACATACTTTGTACCTATTTGAATATACATCCTTATATCATATTATTATTACTATTATTATTATTGTATTACTATAATTATTATTGTTGTTGAAATGGGATTTTCTGATTGAAAATGTAAATTATAAAATTGAATTGTTGACATGAACATAACACTTTATTATAATTTTTAATCATCTCTTCTATTCGTCCATTTTTCCATTTTCAAACTCTATTATAAAAAAGAGGATAACTAATTGATTGGATAAAATTCCGTGACTATCTTTAATTAATTATTCAACCGTTTGAATGGCTTTTAATGGTTTGGTTCGATTATTGAGAATGACATTTGTACAATTTTGTCAATGGTTAATCGATCAGTCGAAAGAATCAGATCAATCTCTTTGAATCAATTAATGAGCATTAAACGGTAAAAAGTGATGAATATTTATTTGACACGTCCATTAAATCTGCAATAATCAATATCTTGAGGAAGTTTAGCGAATCTAATCAAAGTTATTAATCAATACTATTAGTATTAAATAAATAATATTAGACAATGCTCTTTGTTTCATTAAATATTAATCAATTCTGACTGCAAATGAAACACGCAAATTGCTCTCGTAACGCTGCGGAATTGTCTTTCTTTTATTTCAAACACGAATTTAAAACTTTTAATTTTGTATTTCCATACAAAAAAATAAAATTTCACGTTTGTTCGCATTAAAAATAAATGAAACAAAATTCAGAATTACGGAATTTTAGAGCAACCTGTTAGTAGAGTCCATGTTTGCAGCTTAATCGCAATATAATTGGATTATTTGATCCAATTTTCTCAAGAAAATTAGAAAAAATACAAGTCTGTAAATTAATATTGTTAATTTGATTGTTGAAATATTCCTCTTCAAATGCATAAACTGAGTTCTTGCTCGAGTCCAGAAAAAAGTTTGCCAAGAGTTTTTATGCTATTTGGTTCGATAGATGCATCAAAATTGTTCGAATAGACCCAAAATTCGCTCAGCTCAGTCAGGTCTTTTCCAACCCTGACTCTTATAATCAGTCCGAAACTTTTCAATCGACGCTCATTTGAAGAAAAGATCTACAAAAGACTTTACTAACAGGTTGCTCTTTAATTTAATTTAGTAGATTTGGATCGAGTAGGTGGATCGAATATTTCGATTGATTACATCGTTGTTAAGTTAAGAGTAAGACTGCAGTTTATTAATAATTGAATATCAATTTCGGTTCATGTTGGAACAAAACAAAAGGTACAAACTGCCGCACTCCAAAGCATACTAAAAAGGTTAAAAAGGTTTCATTAATAAATGCAGAACCAAATTGATTTGAAAATAATAAATGCACCTAAACGACTTACCACTAATGTTAAATAATTATTAAGCAAAATTTGATTATTAATTTTAAATGCAGCACTCATTGCAGCCGTTCTGTCCAGTATTTCCAGTTTCTTTGATTTCCAGATGAAATACAAACAAAATTGTCTCATTAGGCATGTAACCAGCAATTTTGGTTATTATTACATAGTAATAGATGTTAGCATTTGATGTAATAATCTGCTTGTTAAAATATTTTTGTCGAATCGTAACAAGCTCGTCTAGCAATTGTCAATTCAAAATCAAACTAAATCCTAATCTTGTTATGATTCTAGTTAATTATTATTATTATAAATGTTACTTCAATATTTCCTAACTTAAAGTTACCTTTAGACTGGCAAGCAAATCCAATGATCGATATCGCGCTAGTTTATGCGTGAAAATGCATATTTGATATGTCTGATGAGTAAAGAAAAAAGTTAAAATTTAGTTTTAGATAAAAAATGACCAGCTTTACTCTGGATTGTTTTAATATAACCCTAGAACTTTGCAAATTTACCTTTTTATTGGCCAGTGAGCCGATAAAGTGTAGAACACATATTGTCATACTTATCACAGAAATACCGAAAGTCAGCAGAATTTCGCTGGTATAAGTTAGCGTTTCAGCATAATTTGTGAGATGATAAAATATTAAAACAACAATGTAAGTCACTATTGTGTAAATGAGTACTGTCACAGCGTCATATTGTATGTTCATTTTATCCATATAATTGTAGCACCAAATCTGTTGGTAAAAGAAAGTCTCTATTTCCCTTTTCTCGCCCTTTTTAATGATTGATTTTAGATTATAATTTACGAATGTAATTACTGTAAAACTTTTTAAAATAAACCAAAAGGTGCTCAGCAATGGCGAACGTATTACTGAAAACTGAATACAAAATACAAAGAAATCTATACCCATTGATAACAAATTGTTGTAGCTGTTGAACAATATGGCACTTAAATGGCAAGCGAAAAAGCCGAAGTAAACGATTTCGATTGTAAATTTTTGTGTCAACAGTGTGGTACAATAAAAGCGTCTGAATGATTGATCATCTTCTAGTGTTAGATGATAAAGTCGACCATTTTCAAGATAATCTTTGTATTCTGTAAATACAAAAGTGAATGGCTTTTTGAATGAATAATTAAGGAACAACAGGAATATTTTTATAGCATTGAGAAGAAAGATTCCGATGAAACAATAATAATTTACCAATTTTCTGTCCCGATTAGTTCTGAAGTAATCACCAAGAACCATCAAAACTGTTTCATTATCAGTCCAACACAAAACAAGTAACCTTAAAAGGACCAGAAAATTCAATAGCAAACTTATACCACTGACGATTAAAAAACGCTTTCTCTTCGTCCCTCGTAAATCAAATATCCATTTTGAAAGTTCATAAGCTTCTGACTGTTCAATCAACTTTAAAAGGTTACATTTGCTCGACTTGGTGTCGATGATGGTCGCTAAATATCGGCTACATGAAGGAAGCCTACTTCTCTCCAGATTTTCGGCTAATCTTGCAAAACAATGAGTACAAGAACAAGGCATAGAAATGGTTTTATTAAAGCCTTTGAACAATTTACAATTGGCTTTGACCATTGTTTCATCTCAGCATCTTTGCGACAATAGTTATGCCTTTACTGACTATGTTCAAGCGTAACTATTGAATAGTTAGGATTTCATCTAAAATGATCTTCGAGAATAAAAGACTATTTTCATTAAACACATTAGTGTAGCAGAAACCATAGTGATTAACTTCAATTAATGCAGTTATTATACCATAAAACATACTATTATATAACAATAAAACATAAATCAATTCAATGCAGTAGTTAAATAAATATTGATTTTGAGTGCCAATATGAATGGATAATATCACGCAATAAAATCTATTATGATTTTTGCCCACGATAAGTGATTTCCCAGCTATTAGTATTTCTCACCGCTTCTTATAAGTGGCATAAAATCAGAATGTTTAGTTCACTAGACAGATCGGTTATTTGATGAGAATGAGTTGAACAGGACAAAAGAAAATCATATTATTATAATAATATTTAAGCAATTACAAGTATTAATAACAGTAATACGGATTCGGTACAAGACTAAACTTGGTTGAGTAGCATAATTTTATATTTAACAAGATTTGCACCATTTCCATTACAAATATGAGCATTCTTTAATCATTATGGATACAAATTTTTATAATGAAATTCGACCTCTTTATCGGTCATCTCTTGCGTTTTCTATCATTAAATTTCTTTGTTTTTTCGTGAATATCGCAACAACAGTATGTCCGATCTCCGAAACTTTTGGCATCTCCTTAGAAGAAGATTGACTTGATTTTCTTTGTTTTTGTCTAGTTAACCAGCGTTAATTGAAAGAAGCACAAGTAAAACATTTACAATCCATTTTAATATTTGTGACAGCAAACTACGACAGTTAGACGATGGAAACGCATCTAATGTTTTCATTATTTTGCATGAATATAAAACAATAGTATCTATTGATTTGTATTCAAGCAAACTTTTAAAACAAACTAATACGATTTACTGCTTTTAACAATTATTTCGTTGAGTTGCACGGTTATCCAACAATAAGCTACAAATGTGCTCAATTCGTGAAGTTTTTCTTCTAAAAAGATACATTCATGACCATCGCAACAAAATGCAAACTGTTTGGATTTGCTGCCAATGCAATCAACAATCTCGATTTGACAAGAAATGATCTATTAAGTACCATTGATGACTTGGAGCATTTAGAACGTTCAACGCAAATATTTGACAGAATAAAAGCTTCAAATATCGTCAAATGCAAAGTTTGTTCTTGGACATAATGCAACCTTTACATTTTTGATACAAGTATTACTGACATTAAAACCTTTCAACTGAACAACAGTGATATTTTTGTGTTTCATTGAAACGAAAAGTTTGAACTGTATTAATATTAAGTATTTTTGTCTAATCAATTTTGAATTTATTACGCGCAACAATCATTTTGATGAGCTGCCTGAGTAATCCAGCAATACAATATGTAGTCTAAAGATGTCCGACGAAAGTTTTGCTTCAATGTAGAAATGCTGTAAATTAGCGATAATTTCATAGGCTGATAGATGACGAACATTAAAATTGACCGATTTGATGCGTCAAGCTCAGCAACCATAGATATATGTAGACCGTTCGTAAAGTTGGAATTTTAATAGTTAATTAGTGAAAAAAGTTCTAAGAGTTTCGTTACGTTTAGCCTGATTTAATTATTGGTTATTCAATATCTAGTTTGTATTGTATCGATTTTGTTTGTTTTTGTTTCAGATTCTATGTAATCAGCTTTAATTGAATGGTCTTTAAGTAAAAGATTTAACAATCAATTCTGATATTCGTGACATGAAACCGCGGCAATTGTATAATAGAAATGAATCATTATGCATTTTTATTATTTTTCATATTATTGGTTTATATTCATGGAAAATACAAAGATTTTGTTTAAATTTTTCGTCAAATTCAATAAAGTCTCGATTTGAAAATAATGTCAATAATTCGTAAGAATTTTCACACCTAAAATGAAACATTCTCAATATTTGTTTCATCATATTTTCAACCAAATAGAAAGATTTTGTTTAAACCAACAATTATGATGTGACAAGAAATGATCTACTCAATGCCATTGATGACTTGGAACGCTTTGAGCGTTCAGTACGAATATTTGACA